TCTCCGTATTAGCCCATGTAGCTCTTACACCCCTGCCAAGTGTAAGTGGTGTTGCTTCTCTTATAAACTTTATTTATATATTCTTTTTGGAGTATTTGGGATGAGGGAGGACTAAATGCATAATTTGTATCACTTGTCAGTTTCCACCCTAGGGTCACAGGTTTGGTGTTCACTGAGGCTGGAGCTTGTTCATGTCTGTATGCTGTGCCCAGCTCCTGATTCTGAGCTGGCATTCATGAGTGTTTGTGGGATAAATCGATGTGTAAAGGAACTGAATCTTTTTTCTCTTCCTGCTCTAATGATAGTGTGTCTACTTAGTGGTTTTCAGACTCATTATCTCATTCCAGTACTGCTCTGTCTGTTATCATTGCCAGCTGCTGACCTTTTCCATTTCCGAGGGACGGCAAAACCTGCCTTTCCTGTGGAGCTCTGCTGGTATTCCCTGGCTGACTGGCCAGTGGGCCAGTGAAAGGATTCTGTAGCGTGTCTTGCAGAAGCTCAGAATTAAATCTCACTTTCAGAAAGCTTTCTGATGTCATTTGTTTCCTGTTTATTCTTGTTTATGTGAATTTCAGGTTTGTGAGGACTTTCTTTTGATTTTAATCAAAATACTTAAAATAATTTTCAAACTTTTTAAAAAAATTTATTCATTTGATGGGGCTGGTGCTGTGGCATAGCAGGTAAAGCCACCGCCTGCAGCGCCGGCATCCCATAAGGGCACTGGTTCGAGTTCCAGCTGCTCCACTTCCAATCCAGGTCTCTGCTACGGCCTAGGAAAGCAGTAGAGGATGGCCCAAGTCTTTGGGCCCTGCACCCACATGGGAAGCTCCTGGCTTCGGATCAATGCAGCTCTGGCTGTTGCGGCCAATTGGGGAGTAAACCAGCAGTTAGAAGATCTCTCTCTCTCTCTTTCTCTGCCTCTCCTTCTCTCTCTCTGTAACTCTTTCAAATAAATAAATCTTTAAAAATTAATTTATTCATTTGAAAGGCAGAGTTACAGAAAGAGAGGTGGAGACAGAGAAAGAGAGGTCTTCCATCCACTGGTTCACTTCCCAGATGACCCCAATGGCCGGGACTGGGCCAATCAAAAGCCAGGATCTAGGATCTTCTTCCGGGTCTCCCACGTGGGTGCAGGAGCCCAAGCACTTGGGCCATCCTCCACTGCTTTCCCAGGCCATTATCAGGGAGCTGGAACGAAAGTGGAGAGCCAGGACTTGAACAGGCATCCATGTAAGATGCCAGCATCACAGATGGCAGCTTGACCTGGTACTCCACCATGCCGGCCCCTACTTCAAATAATTTTAAAAAGAAACTTTACTTTTAGGACAATTTTAGACTTACAGAAACATTGCCTAGCACGGAGAGTTCCTATCTACCTGAACCTGGTTTCCCCTATTGGTAACATCTTATATTAGTAGGTATGTTTGCTGCAGTTTCAAATAATCTTTTTAAAAAATTTATTTATTTGAAAATCAGAGTTACACAGAGAGAGGAGAGGCAGATAGAGAGAGAGAGGTCTTCCATCCAGTGGTTCACTCCCCAGTTGACCACAACAGCTGGAGCTGTGCCGATCCAAAGCCAGGAGCCAGGAGCTTCCTCTGGGTCTTCCACGTGTGTGCAGGAGCCCAAGGACTTAGGCCGTCTTCTACTGCTTTCCCAGGCCATAGCAGAGAGTTGAATGGGAAGTGGAGCAGCCAGGACTCGAACTGGCACCCATATGGGATGCCGGCACTTCAGGCCAGGGTGTTAACCCGCTGCGCCGCAGCACCGGCCCCCTCAAATAATCTTTTTTCTTTCTTTCTTTCTTTTTTTTTTTTTTTTTTTTTTTTTTGACAGGCAGAGTGGACAGTGAGAGAGAGAGGCAGAGAGAAAGGTCTTCCTTTTGCCATTGGTTCACCCTCCAATGGCCGCCGCAGCCGGCGCGCTGCAGACGGCGCACCACGCTGATCCGATGGCAGGAGCCAGGTACTTATCCTGGTTTCCCATGGGGTACAGGGCCCAAGTACCTGGGCCATCCTCCACTGCACTCCCTGGCCACAGCAGAGGGCTGGCCTGGAAGAGGGGCAACCGGGACAGAATCCGGCTCCTCGACCGGGACTAGAACCCGGTGTGCCGGCGCCGCTAGGCGGAGGATTAGCCTAGTGAGCCGCGGCGCCGGCCTCAAAAGATTATTTGAGGGGGCCGGCGCCGCGGCTCACTAGGCTAATCCTCCGCCTTGTGGCGCCGGCACACCGGGTTCTAGTCCCGGTCGGGGCGCCGGATTCTGTCCCGGTTGCCCCTCTTCCAAGCCAGCTCTCTGCTGTGGCCAGGGAGTGCAGTGGAGGATGGCCCAGGTGCTTGGGCCCTGCACCCCATGGGAGACCAGGAAAAGCACCTGGCTCCTGGCTCCTGCCATCGGATCAGCGCGGTGCGCCGGCCGCAGCGCGCCAGCCGCGGCGGCCATTGGAGGGTGAACCAACGGCAAAGGAAGACCTTTCTCTCTGTCTCTCTCTCTCACTGTCCACTCTGCCTGTCAAAAAAAAAAAAAAAAAAAAAAAAAAACCAACAACTTTTGAGATAAGTGTTACACATTAATAAAATATGAACAAAATGAAGTTATTTAATATCTGTAGGCCTCAGTTTTCCTATCTGTGAAATGAGAGGATTAAATTTCTCAAGTAGCTCTAACATTTTTAATTAGCTGTGAAAGTAGAATAATTGTATAATTCTGTAATTTTTTTTGCTGAATGTTTTTAAAAGATTTATTTATTTGAAAGGCAGAGTGACAGAGAGGAAGGGAAAGATTGATTTGGTTCACTCCCCAAATGGCTGCAACAGCCAGCTGTGGGCCAGGGGAAGTCAGGAAAGCCCGGAGCCAGGAACTCTATCCTGGATCTCTCATGGGTGACAGGGGCCAAAGTACTTGGGCCATCTTTCACTGCCTTCCCAGGCAAATTTGCAGGGAACTGAATCTGAAGTGGAATAGCCAGGACTCAAAATGGCACTCTGACACGGGATGCCTGTGTTGTAAGTGCTGGTCTAACCTGCTGTGCCACAACCGCTGGCCTCTGCTAAAGTGTTGTTAATATCACCTTCCCAAATGATGTTTGCACGTTGCTGACAGCCTTATCTTAAAAGAGATTGAAGGAGAATTCTTGGAACTGTGACAGGGCTGCTTATAGAGATATTAGGTTGAACTACATGAAGCTGCTATTTTTGTAGGTAAAAATTTTTGAGCAAATATTAGCAGTTGTATTTGTTTCAACCTAATATTTTGGGATAGGGATTCAAAGGAGGACGAGGAGGTCTTTGGAGCCTCTGAAACTCCTACTGCATGCCAACACCTAGTTCAACCTTCACAGTTATTAAGAGAGAAAAGATTCCTCATTTCCCTTGCAGCAGCTCAGCTACACTCTCGTTGTTGAGCGGAAGTCCTGGGTTAAGAGCAGTTTTCTGAAAGGTCTGTGCCTGAAAGCAGCAGAGAGAAGTGAGCTCAGAAGAGCAACATCTCACAGAGCTATAGTGAGTTGGTCGCATGGCCTTGGTGGCAGGGAATGGCAGAAAAGGAGGATGTTGTGTGGGGGAAGTCTGTGTTACCTGGTTTGTAGCCAGCACCAGGCAGCCTGGGTATTGGTGCCACCAAGCTTTATCATTGCCACATTATTTTATTTCTTACTGCCTAGTACAGGCCCTACAAGCACAAGTATCTTTAGTCGCCCAAAAGATAGTATAAGTGAGTAAACTGAGCTTTCTTATATACCTCTATTATAAGGAAAAGCAATAGCACAAGTGCAATGATAGATGATAATCTAATGTTAAGGGGAGAAGGCCGGGGGAAGCTATGGGGGACTGGAGAGCACATGGCCTATCTAAAGGGGTGGGTGTTGTCTAGTGGGAATATGGGGCAGGGGTTACTGGATACTCTGATTTTGTAGGTAAGGAATATGGGTTTTTCTGTGCATTCTCCCCCTGGTAAATGTTGGCACTTAATTTGAATTCTTAAAAATCATTATGTGGACCACACAATGGTTGAAAAGAGCCAGCAGACTTCTTTTTTTGTTCATTGTCAACCAGATGCCAGCTGTGTGACCTGGCACAAGTTCCTTGACCTTCCTAAGCCTCAGTTGCCTCTTCTGTGTATAAAGAGTAATTGTAGTAGCCACGGTGAAGTATGAGGGAAAGAGATTGGAAGTTTTCAAGGTTCTTGTCAGGGCTTGGCTGCTCTGCTTTCTGTCCAGCTCCTTGTTAATGTGCTTGGGAAAACAGCAGATGATGGCCTGAGTACTTGGATCCCTGCCACCCTTGTGGGAGATCCAGATGAAGTTCCGATTTCCTGGCTCTGGCCTGGCCCAACTCTGGCCGTTGCAGCCACTTGACAAATGAACTAGCAAATGGAAAAGTTCTGCCTCCCTCTTTCTCTCTCTATCACTCTGCCTTTCAAATAAATAAGTTAATTAATTTAAAAAGATTGTTGTGAAGACAAGATGACATAATGCTTATAAATCACTTAACAAAGCGACGGGGCCATGGAAGCACTCAGCAATTGTTAAATATGATGATGATGACTTACAAAGGGTCATGTGTCTTTCCTTTGTTTCCCCATACTGCCCTCTGATGTCTTTATTATTATTGTACACACCACATTGTATTGTAATTGTTTGTGTCTGCCTTCTGCTAGACTAAGCACCTTCAGTGATTCATGTCTACTCACTGTGCCAGCCACTATGGATACAACAATAAAACAGGAGCTCTTGCACTAGTGTGGAGTTCTGAAAGGCATGCAAGGAAATGCTAGTCCCCTGGGCATATCTCATTGTCAGTAAATTTGTGAAACGGTGATCGTCATGGTTCCCTGTTAGACTAGGGTCCATCTTCATATTTTAAATGTTCTGAGGAATCCTGTAGTAAGTAAACCTATTATTTATTGAACCCAGCTTTGCCAGACTTGATAAATATTTACTGTATGAATCTATCATCTACACCAACAGTCCTCTAACTCTGCTTTGTGCTTTGGTCCCCAGCTCAAGAGGAAGCCATAGAGGCAAAGCAATGGTTAGAGACCCTGCTGGGAGCAAGCAGCCTCTGACTGCTTAAGGACCTGTGGGCCTCCTGTCTGGTGCCTCGATGGAGACAGACAGCCCTGGGTTGAACACCATGAAGCCCCAGTCACTACAGCTGGTGCTGGAGGAGCAAGTGCTGGCCCTGCAGCAGCAGATGGCAGAGAATCAGGCAGCCTCTTGGCGGCAGCTGAAGAGCTCCCAGGAGGCCCAGCAGAGGCAAGCGACCCTTGTGAGGAAGCTGCAGGCCAAGGTGAGGAATGAGGGATGCGAAATGAAAACACCTCTTAGATTGCTAAAATGGGATAAAGGGGTGTCAGAGGCAGAGCCACGTGATGGGATTGCCCACCCCTAGCTTGGGGAGGCGAGGAGGGTGCAACTCTTCCAACTTAACACGGGCAGCTTATCCTTTGAGGCTCACAGCTACTTCACACTGTGTGCATTAAAGACGATATTCACGAGGGTTTAATTAGTTGCCCAGGTTTGCTCTCTTAGTTTAGAGCTAAGACCTGAGCATGGGTTTTCTAGGTCCAAAGCCCGAAATTCTCTTCCATGGAAGAGGCAGTAGAAAGTACTCTTTCAGTGCCCACATAGACTGTGAGGTGTTCTGGCCTTTACTCACTGTCACCACTCATTTCCCCCATTCACAGCAGGGTTGTCCAAGATCCCTGGGGACCTTTGGTTTCTATCAGCTGTGTCCATTGTCCAGGCCCTGCTTTGTTTGCCTCAGGTGTTACAGTACCGGAGCTGGTGCCAAGAGCTGGAGAAGCGGCTGGAAGCCACTGGAGTAAGTAAGATTGAGCCCTCTATGAATATACTTGTTAGGCTTTGTTTGCTGACTGAGGAAGATGAAAGTATTATATAGGGCATTTGGTAGAAATCTCTCTTCTGTCAGCCCCTGAGAACTTTAAAAAAAAAAAGATTTATTTATTTGAAAGTCAGAATTAGAGAGAGGCAGAGAGAGAGGTCTTCCATTTGCTGGTTCACTCCCTAGGTGGCCACAGTGGCTGGAGCTGGGCTGATCCGAGCCAGGAGCCAGGAGCTTCTTCCAGGTCTCATACATTGGGTGCTGGGGCCCAAGGACTTGGGCCATCTTCTACTGCTTTCCCAGGCCATAGCAGAGAGCTGGATCAGAAGTGGAGCAGCCGGCTCTCAAACTGGCACGCATAAGGGATGCCAGCACTGCACACATAGCTTTACCCACTACGCCATAGCACCGGCCCTCCTGAGAACTTTATCACACTAATCCCTTGATTTCATCTGGCTGCCCCTGGCCTGTGGTTTCTCTAAGGACAAGATATAGCTCCCAGTGATTTAACCAAATTGGAAGTAGCAAATTAGAGGGAACAGATGCATTTTTCCTCCAGCAGGTGTCAGTGTTTATCTGCCGTAGAGAGAGAAGTGCCTTTGCAGGCCTAAAAAGCTTGTCTTTGGCAGGGAAGTGGATGTGTGGTGTTGGCTGGGTAGAACTGGTTTTGAAAAACCCATTTGCCTTTGTTCCAGCTCCCTTTCTGCACCTTCTCACATTCCACTCAGAAAAGTTCTCAGAGGAAGGAAAGAACCACAACTTACTGAGCACCTTCCGTGAAGGCCGGGGCCATTAGCATTGCCATATAATCATGTCACTCATCTGCACAGCACCTTTTTGTAGCTGAAGACACTGTAGCTCTAAGAAGTTAAGTGGCTTCCCTTCTCAAAGTCCAAACATGAAAGTAGTAGAAGTCAAGGGTGTTAGTGAAAGACACACCTTGTGCTTCTTAGGTTGAAGGTTTTTTTGGCTACCAATTGCCATGTGTCAAGAGAGATCGTTGGTCTGCTTTTGGAGAGAGTTGCAGTGATTGAGTAAAGCAGCATATTTATATAGAAAGAATATAGGTAGAAAGATAAATATATATAGAGATAGAGAGAACCCGGCAGTAGAAGGGGCATCAGGGAATTGGTCTGCGTGATGTTCTTTCTGGTGGTAAAAAAGGCTTGTCTCTGTCTGGCAAAGGGACCAATCCCTCAGAGGTGGGAGAGTGTGGAGGAGCCAAACCTGGAACAGCTGCTAATCCGGCTGGAGGAGGAGCAACAGAGGTGATGGACCCTAAATTCTCCGACCTGGGTGATTGGCCAGTGAGTGGAAAAGGCTGACGGGATGAAGCCCTCTGTTCTGAGGGCTAACATGGATTAGAACCGTGGACTTCAGCCTGAGCCCCCTCACTCTTGGCAATGGAGAATTCCGTGGTTGTCGTCTTACCCACAAGAGATCCAAGGGTTGGACCAGCCCTTTATTTTGTACTTGCTCTTACTCCTCCCCAGTGCAGGTGTGAGAATCTAGCAGAGGTGAACACCCAGCTTCGACTGCACATGGAAAAAGCTGATGTGGTGAATAAAGCCCTTCGGGAAGATGTGGAAAAGTTGACAGTGGACTGGAGCCGGGCCCGGGATGAGCTAATGAGGAAGGAGAGCCAGTGGCAGATGGAGCAGGAGGTAGGAAGAGCAGGGGGCTTGAGCTGTGAAAGGAGGGCTGTGCACTCTGGGCACTGCCCTGGTCAGTGCTACAGGAGGTTAACTTCCGGGCTTGGGAGGAAACTTAGCAGCTGAGCTGTCTTTGTGGAAATCTTTGATTTTTACCTGTGTTTTCAGTGTCATCCTGCTTGGGCCTTCGTCTTTGTTCTGCCATTACCTGCCTGTTACAGATTTTGCTGACAGGTGGCATGACACTGAAAGTAGCTCTGTGCCTGCAGAAGTGACTAGTTTAGGATTTACCTGGATCTGAAAGCTGGTGGACGCCCTTCTTCTGGAGGTCTGGGTATCTAGATGCTAAGGAGGTAGCCATTGAAACTGAATGGGGAAGAAGGACCAGTTATAGATCCTGGGAATTTTTAGATCCAGCTAAAAGAAACAGAGATTTCCTAAGCCTTTGCCCTGTGCTAGGTGATTTATGTATGTTACTTAGTCCTCCTCCTAAGTCTTTGTTGATAGCTCCTGTTTGTTAAGGAGCTACTTTGTATCTTTTTCTGCTCTAGCCCAGAAGTCCAGGTTCTATCTGTGGCTCTTTGTCCTCTTGAATCTCATTGCCAATTTTACTATTTTTTTAAAATTTTTATTTGTTAAAGACTTATTTGGAAATCAGAGTTATAGACAAAAAGAGGAAGAGACAGAGAGAGAAAGAGATCTTCCATCTGCTGATTCACTCCCTAGATGATTTCAATGGCCAGCGCTGGGCCAGTCTGAAGCCAGGAGCCAGGAGCTTTTTCCAGGCCTCCCACAAAGGTAGCAGGGGGCAAAGACTTGGACCATCTTCCACTGCTTTGCCCAGGTCATTAGCAGGGAGCTGGAATAGAAGTAGAGCTGCCAGGACTCAAACTGGCACCCATGTGAGATGCCAGCGTTGGAGGTGGCAGCTTTACCCTCTGCACCACAATGTTGCCCTCCACCTTGCCAATTTTATTAAACCCTTCAGCAGAACCTGAATCTAGACACCCATTCATAAGCTATCTCTATAGTTGTCTAGTGGTTAGGAATCTAAGACTGTTGTGTTGGAAGAAAATTAGTGCTCTGCCCTTTGTTATGACCTGGGTTTCTGAACACACAGTTCTTCAAGGGCTACCTGAAAGGAGAGCACAGTCGCCTTCTTGGTCTTTGGCGGGAGGTGGTGACCTTCCGACGCCACTTCCTGGAAATGAAGTCAGCTACTGACAGGTCAGTGTGGGGATTAAAGGGAGGAGATTGCCCTACCAATTCTGGACTCATGGCAGTGCGCTGCTGTAGAAGGCGGGGATCAGGTGTGGGGCTGGGTGGGTAGAAGGGTTGGCGTTGATGGGTTCATATGACTTTTCCCGGACCTGGTCTTTGGGCTTATTGGGCCCGATCTCCACACTCCCTTCCCTGGTCCCCACTGGAACTCGCTGTTTCCCTTGCTTGTGCTCAGAGATCTGATGGAGCTAAAGGCGGAGCATGTGAGGCTCTCAGGGTCTCTGTTGACCTGTTGTCTGCGCTTGACTGTGGGAGCACAGTCTCGGGAAGCCAGTGGATCTGGAAGAACGGATGGGAGCGAGCCAGCCCAGCTGCTGCTCCTGCTAGCCAAGACCCAGGAGCTGGAGAAGGAAGCACACGAGAGGAGCCAGGAGTTAATACAGCTGAAGAGCCAAGGGGATCTGGAGAAAGCTGAGCTTCAGGATCGGTGAGGTGGCCTGAGGTCCCAGGAGGGGTACGCTGAGGGGAAGCTGACTCCTTTAGAGAGTTAGGGATGGGCAAGGGGATGTCAAGGACATTTTCACCATGAGAGGGGAAGGAGATGTGTCAGGGAGAGTCTAGTCTGAATCCTGTTGCCACAGCCAGGGCTTGTCACCAGCCTCTAACCTCAGGTTGTCTTGCAGCTGCCTCTTTCCTGTTGATTCGTAGAGATAGCTATGACTCTGGCCTCTACCAACAGTAAACTCAGAACAGCCAAGCTCTTCCCTGCCTTTGTACATGCTGACCTTAGCCTGGCACGCCTTCCTCTTTACTCTCTTAGCCTTATCCGTTAAGGCAGAGGTGGAGAACCTCCGACCCACTGGCCATAAAAGGCCTGTGAAATTATCTGGTCTGGCCTTACCAAGGCAGCTGCAGGCAGAACTCAAAATTCAATAAATTTGTAGCTAATTTTTAAATTGACAATTTTGTATGGCCTGCAAATGATATTATAAATGCCCAAATGGGCCTTGATGGAGAGAAGGGTCCCCATTCCTGCTTTAAGGCATACTTTATGTGTCCATCTCTTTGTGAAGGCTCAGTCTCCTACCAAGTCACTTTACCATTTGTTATAGCATGGATCTCACTGATTATTTTGTTTCTTTTTTTGTTTTGTTTTCTGGTTAGGCTCTTTTAATTTGTTTGATTACAATGAAATAGAATGGTTTAAAATGATGATAAGAAGGATACAGGCATAAGCAGAGAGTACTATTGAATCACAGGGCAATGCCCCTGAGTAGAGTTTGTGTTGCTGGTATGCATAAATTGCAAGACTGTTTTGTTCTAGTTTTGCACTGAGGTGCTCAAAGGTGGAGACCATGTCTTAAGTAAGCTTTACCTCTCTAGTACTTTGTCTAGTACTTTGTCAGACAAAATAAATGTTGAGTGATCCAATAATTAAATGGCCATATATGAGTTAAAGCTCATAGAAATGATGTAGAATAAAAATATTAAGACTTCCCAAAAAAGCATTTAAACTCCTGGATGATAGGCATTCAAGAAATATTTATTTGGCCACCTATATTAAACCAGACACTAAGCTCCAAGATGTGTTGTTAAGTTATAAAGATGTCTGGAATTTCACTGGCCTTTGGGTTGATATTGGGGAGATTGACCATAGTCTCCCTCAAATTGCCCCTCCTTTTTCCCTATCAGAGTCAGAACCTTGAGCCGGAAGGACCTTGGGACTATCCCATGTGGCAATACTGGTGTTCTTATTGGCTTCAGGGTGCTTGACTTCAAGATCAAGCGAGGCCTGGAGGGGCCTAGGCCAGGGCTTTTCTTCAGCTCTTGGGTCCCCAAACACGTGTTCCAGCCTTGAGATGTGGTAAATCTCTGCATGTGTCTGAGTGGCTTTTGGCTTTCCCCCAAAATCAAGACTCCAGCATCATGTGTTATGCAGGGAGAATGGAGGGGCTGGGGGCTCCCAAGGGATTCTGAAGGGGCTGCAGGGGGAGTGTCCGTGTTGGGGTAGGGGTGTGTGACAGAGTAGCTCTGTCCACATCCACAGCCCACCCAGCTGACAGGGCTCTGCTCTCTTTAGGGTGACTGAGCTCTCTGCTTTGCTGACCCAGTCTCAGAAGGAGAATGAAGATTATGAGAAGATGGTAAAGGCTCTGAGAGAGACAATGGAGATTCTGGTACATGATCCTTCATGGGGAGAGGAGTTGGGAGTGGACCTGTGGGTTCTGAGTCCTTTATGGCCAGATAATGCAGATGACCAGTGAAATGTGCCTTGATGAACCCTCTAAAGCTAAAAAATAAATTTTCATTGAATCTGAAAATTAGTTAACTTACTCATTCAGTAAGTATTATTAGCTGTCTATTCTCCCAATTGTATTCCTAGGGAAAGTACAGTGTCCCTTGCAAGTACAGAGACATAGAAGTGCAGTGTGTCCTTATCAGAGAGAGGTACGTACCTTAACAGATACACCGGAAAATTAGCAAGTCCTCAGGAAGGGGATGTGTGGAGAGATTGAGAATCTGGTTATCAGAAACAGCTGAGGAGTATGGAGTTGTGTGTCCTGGAGAGCAAAGAAAGGGCTTGAGGAAGACGTTAGGGCTGCCTTGACGTAGTTGAAGGACTGTCACTGGGAGAAGCAGAGTTGACATGCTCGATGTTTTCCAGTGCAAAACTGAGTCAATGGTGTTCACTAGTTGAACAGTCTGTCTTGTGGAGTGAGCTTTTGGTTTCTCACGTAATATCTGCATGGGATTTTATCAAAAGGACTAATATTGGACATCGGAAAATCTGGTTTGATTCTATGTTTCCTTTCATCTCTACAAATTTTTAGATCTCTGATTTTAGGTAGGCGCACACCCCTAAACTTGTCCCGTATGCTGGGATCAGTTAGGAGTCAGACTTGTTTGTGACTTTTTGATTGCTTTCTGTCAGGAATTTGCCAATTCTGAAATCCACAGGGTTCAGATAATATAAATGGGGAAATAGGTCGGGTTGTAAGAATTGTGGTTTTTCAGTGCTACAGAAATGGCTGAGCTCAGCGTTAAGGAGACAGCGAGGAGCGGCAGGGACTGGAGGGCTCTGAAGAACCAGTGTCTCATCTAGTGGTGGCATCTGCTCTTCACCTTATTAAATATTGCAGTATAGGAATTGGGCTGAATGTGGCAGTTTTAATTTTTCTTTCTTTAAAGATTTATTTTTGTTTATTTGAAAGGCAGAGTTACAGAGAGAGGGAGAGATCTCTTATCTGCTGGTTTACTCCCCAAATGGCTGCAATGGCCAGGACTGGACCATGCCAAAGCCAGGAGCTTCATCCATGTGGGTGCAGGGGTCCAAGCACTTGGACCATCCTCTGCCGCTTTCCCAAGCACATTATCAGGGAGCTGGATCAGAAGTGGAGCAGCCCAGACCCAAACGGGGTCCTATATGGGATTCTGGCATTGCAGGTAGTGGCTTAACTTGTTACACCACAACGCTGACCCTGACTTTGTTAACTATTTGAGAGAAGCCAGGAGCCAGAACTCCATCTGGGTCTCCCATGTGGGTGGCAAGGACTCAATACTTGAACCATTACCTGCCACCTCCCAGAGCGCTCATAGGCAGAAAACTAGAATCAGGAGCAGAACTGAGACTTGAACCCAGGCACTCTGATAACAGGATGCAGGTGTCCCCAGCAGTGTTGTCACTGCCATGCCAAAACACCTGCCCCTGTACCTAACAAGAAGAAAGCTCAGAAAAGCAGTTGCCTACGGTTACCACCTCAGTAAGTGAGAACTCTAATCTAGGCAGTCTGATTTGGAGCTCATCATCATTTCATCAGAACTTTTACAAACACATCACATTGTCTTCAGAGTCCCTGGACAACCATCATCGCTCACATGTAGTGAGGGGAAGGTGGGTAGGCAGAATAGACAGAGTAAGACTGGGCGGTTTTGGGTCTGGAATTCTACATTCTCCTTTGAGAGTTTGGCTCTTAGGCTTTGTTCTGTTCCTTGTTCAGGAGACAAACCATGCAGAATTAGTGGAACACGAGGCATCTCTTAGTAAGAATGCCCAGGAAGAGAAATTGTCCTTACAGCAGGTGATCAAGGACATAATCCAGGTACTGGTAAGCCTCCTGGTTGTGGTAACCAGGCTGTGCCCTGCCCTTCTCCCCAGGCCTCCGTGCCTCTCCGTCATGCTTGCATTTCCAGACTCAGAGGTGTTTGTATGTCTGCTTTCATGGGGATGAGTTCTCTGAGTGTATTTGAAAATGAAACCCTAGGGCGTAGTTCAGCTTTCGTGTCCCAGCACTGCCTAGTGGACGGGTCCTCTTTTCTGCTGCCAGTTGCAGTTCTCAGGCCACAAACAGGATCCTGGCCTTCATTCTGCAGTAACCTCTGCGTCCTTCATTTCTTCATTTCCCGTCCCCGAGGGAGTGCACTAGTCTTGTTGCTTATCCTAGTTTTGGGTCACCAAAGGTGAAGGGACCAGCCTTTGTTTGCTCTGATAACCCATCCCTCTGCACCAGGGAGAAGACCTGAGAAGGAAAACTTCAGGTTTGTCCAGGCTGGAGTGTGGTCCTCTGGAGTGGACTCCAGGCCTTGACCAAGTAGGTGGTAACCCCACTGTGTTGGGTTTCAGGCCATGGTAGAAGAAGGGGACAGTGTGGTGCAAGGCTGTGGTCATGAGAGCTCCTCGGGCTTGGACTTGAGTGGCTTCTCCCAGTTTGACTCCCAGGACCCAGACAAGGCTCTCGTTTTTGTGCGCTCAGTGCTGACTCGAAGACGCCAGGCCATGCAGGTGAGAACCCCAGAGTTCCTTCTCAGGCAGCAGGGAGGGTATCTATATTGAAGTGTGCCCCAGCTTCCTTACTGTCTACCAGTCATAAGGCTTTTTTTAGCCTTATTTATTTAGCTTTATTTATTTATTTGAAAGTCAGAATTACAGACAAAAGAAGGAGAGAGAGACAGAGGGAGATCTTCCATCTGATGGTTCACTCTCCAAATGGTTGCAATGGCTGGGGCTGTGCTAGGCCAAAGCCAGGAGCCAGGAGCTTCTTCCAGATCTCCCACATGGATAGTAGGGGCCCAAGGACTCAGGCCATCTTCTGCTGCTTTTCCCAGGCTATTAGCATGGAGCTGGATCAGAAGTGGAGTAGCTGGGACTAGAACTGGTACTGCAGGCATATGGGATGCCAGCATTACAGGCAGTGGCTTAACCTGTTGCACCACAGTACCAGCCCCTCTTGAGGTGTTTTGTCACTGTCCTCAAGTGCCCATTAAAATCTCTTTGTCTACCCAATTGTATTTGTGGATAACAGACATATTCTCCATGCCAGTGGCACACTTTGCATTGCATGCAATCTTTGCATAGTCCTGTGTACAGAGTGACAGCCAGAGCCTTGGTGGGTGTTTGGGGATGTGCTCCCTGACTAGGGAGGTGCTAGGCACACTTAGCATTTGAAGATGTTGAACCCTAAGACTGGGGCTGCAGAAACCTGATAGTCTCGAATCCCATCTTCTGGGGTGGTCCCATCCCTGTTCTCAGCTTACCCTTGTTGCAGCAGCCCCCGTCCCCTTGTCCAGCCCTGTTTTCAGGTTTCTATGTCTGTGCCTTGCCCTTGCCCTCGTGCTCACCCTCTGGTTTCTATTGCTGTCCCTCCACAGGACCTAAGGCAGCAGCTTTCAGGCTGCCAGGAGGCCATGGGCATCTTGCAGCAGCAGCATGACCAGTGGGAAGAAGAGGGCAGAGGCCTGAGACAGCGACTGCAGAAGCTCACGGGGGAACGGGACACTCTGGAAGGGCAGACTGTGGGCCTCCAGGGAGAGGTGGACTCTCTCAGCAAGTAAGCATGCAGGCTGTTCATCCTGCTTCCACCCTGGTCTCCACACTCGGGCAGCCATCTACTCCTTCCCATTGTGTTTTCGGTTGGCCCATCCCATTGTGATCCAGGGCTATTCTGGCTGCTTTGCTTTGAGTTCTGCTTCTTGCTGGGTTTGGGATCTTTGTGATTATAGAAAAGTTTGCCACTCAAAAGGAAAGATGGGATGTGAAAGGAAACATAGTAGTCGCTCTTTCCTTTGACTCCCTGATGTCTGCTTTTGGCAAGAATTTTAGGCCCCAAACCTTTGCCCATCTCTGGCCTCCTCCTCCCAGGGAGCGAGAGCTTCTGCAGAAGGCCAGGGAGGAGCTGCAGCAGCAGCTGGAGGTGCTGGAGCAGGAGGCCTGGCGTCTGCGAAGGGCAAATGTGGAGCTTCAGCTGCAAGGGGACTCTGCCCAGGGTGAGAAGGAGGAGCAGCTGGAGGAGCTGCACCTGGCTGCCCGGGAAAGGGAGCGTCTGTGAGTATGACCAGTCCCCTGCACGCTGAGCCTGGCCTCCCTTCGATTCCACAGCCGCCTTCACCACTCTCCTCTCACAACGTGGGGCACTGAAAGCCTGCTGAGCAGTGGGCTTGATTTGCTCACGGCTCCTTCCTTTGCGGGAAGACATGCAGAAAGCTCCTCCAGACTTTGCTGAGCACCCGCAGGGATGAGTACGGGGAGGGATACAGAAAGGAGTAAGACACAGGCCCGGATCTCAACGAGCCCGCAGTCGAATGGAGAAGACAGACACCAGCAACTGTGACATGAGGCCAGGTGAAAGATGAGCTAGACTTTCGAGTTAGGTCCTTAGGGAGCCTGGGAGTAACAGTTAATCACTGTTAATCGGGGAAGCTTTGGGGAGGAGGGGGTAGACTTTGAGCAGGTCCTCGACCTGTTCTGACTGATAGAGAGCAGGACAAGGGCTGAAGGAACAGAGCAGCAACAAGGAGGAGGCAGGAAGGTTCATGGCCTGTTCAGAGTAGGCTGAGCTGCAAAGGGCTGCTACTGCACATTCTGGGAAGCAGGTACTTAGGTCCCTGACACCCATGTGGGAGACTCAGATTGAGTTCTGGGCTTCTGGCTGCAGCCAGGCCCAAGCCCAGCTGTTGCAGGCATTTGAGGAGTGAACCAGCAGATGGAAGATTGATCTCTCTTATTCTTTCTTTCTTTCCCTTTTTAACTGTCTAGTTCTCACAACACATTGGCGTTGTGGCATAGCAGGTAAAGCTGCTACCTCTGACGTTGGCGTCCCATATGGGTGCTGGTTGGAGTCCCAGCTGCTCTACTTCCAATCCAGCTCTCTGCTAATACACCTGGGAAAGCAGTAGAGGATGGCTCAGGTTCTTGGGCCCCTGTGCCCATGTGGGAGACCTGGAAGAAGCTCCTGCCTCCTGGATTCAGTCTGACCCAGCCCTGGCCATTGTGGCCATCTGGGGAGTGAACTGGTGGATGAAAGCTCTCTCTCCCTCTCTCCCTCTCTCCCTCTCTCCCTCTCTCCCTCTCTCCCTCTCTCCCTCTCTCCCTCTCTCCCTCTCTCCCTCTCTCCCTCTCTCCCTCTCTCCCTCTCTCCCTCTCTCCCTCTCTCCCTCTCTCCCTCTCTCCCTCTCTCCCTCTCTCCCTCTCTCCCTCTCCCTCTCCCCTCTCCCCCTCTCCCCCTCTCCCCCTCTCCCCCTCTCCCCTTCTCTCCCGCTCTCCCCCTCTCCCCTTCTCTCCCGCTCTCCCCCGCTCTCCCGCTCTACCCCTCTCTCCTTCTCTCCCTCTCTCCCCCCCTCTCCCCCCCCTCCCTCTCTGTAACTCTGCCTTTAAATAAATAAATCTTCAAAAAAAAAAAAAAAAAAAAAAAGAGAGGAAAGACCTTATTTGAAAGGCGGAGTTACAGAGGCAGAGGCAGAGAGAGAGGTCTTCTATCTACTGGTTTACTCCCCAAATGGCAACATTGGCCGGAGCTGAGCCAATCCAAAGCCAGGGGCGAGCAGCTTCTTCTGGGTCTCCCACATGGATGTAGGGGCCCAAGGACTTGGAGCATCCTCATTGCTTTCCCAGGCACATTAGCAGGGAGCTGGATCAGACGTGGAGCAGCTGATATGGGATGCTCATATGGGATGCCATCACTGCAGGTGGCAGTTTTACCCACTATGCCACAGCGCTGGCCCCGAAAAAGACTTGTTTTAGGAAGTAAAAGGAAAAGATCTGGTGAGGAAGAGAAATCCAGGATAAATGGACCCAACCAATCTGTGAATTCCCCTATGTGATGTCACAGAGCAACAGCATTTAGAGTCAGGCAAAAGCCTGCTTTCAGTTATGGCTTTGCCACTGAACAGATCACTTTACTTGTAAAATGGAGAAAATATTTACCTTGAAGGGTTGATGGGCAATCAGGATACTGGAAAATTCCAGGGTGGAGTGTCGCTCCCCGTCTTTGTGGAGGAACGACACAGGACCCTGCGCTGTTCTTTTGTCTGCTCGGCCCTCCCCGGGTTTGCTGCTGGTTCTTCCCGGGTTGGCTACCGTCCCTTCCACCTCCGTGGAAGGGCGGTTCCCCCTGGCCACTTTCCCCACTTCCGCAGGGGAGCGGCACACCGCCGGCCGGCTCTCTCGGGGGCTGCACAGGTGTTCCTTCAGCTAGATGTTCCCCTTAGATGTTCCTGGTGCATGTTGTCTCTCTCCTCCTTTATAGTCCTCTTCCACCAATCCCAATTCTGCTACCCACACGCTGAGTACGCTGCTCTCCTGCAATCAGGAGCAGGTCCTACAGTTTATTGGTTGAACTGGAGGCAGCTGTGTAGAAGCTGCTTCTCCCTTCTCAGCGCCATATTGTGGGAGAGCAGATGCATAGAATAAGTCTTAATTCCAGTAACTTAGTCTAGTCCGGGTTGCTCCCCACAGTGGAGCCTGCCATGTTAGAGGTCTTCAGTAACTGGTAGCAGGAATGTATATCTTCCTTCATATATACGTCTTCTACATTTTAAAAAAAAATTTTCATTTGAAAGGCAGAGGGAGAGAGAACTAGAAAGTTAGAATGGGAGAGAGAGAAAGAGAGAATAAGAGATTGATCTTCCATCTGCTGGTTCACTCCACAAATGCCTGCAACAGCTGGGCTTGCCAGGAGCCCAGAACTCAATCTGAGTCTCCCACATGGGTGCCAGGCACCTAAGTACTTGCTTCGCAGGATGTGCATTAGCAGGCAGCTGGAATTGGAGGTGGAGCTGGGACTGAAACCCACACACTCCAGTGTGGGGTGCAAGTGTCCTAAGGGGCCTCGTTATCACTGGGCCCAATGCTTACCCCAAGATGTATCTTCTCCGTCTCCCGTGTATTCCCCTACTCTTGTGTCCTGGTTCCCTGCACAGAGGTATGAATCCTGGAAGCCTGAGGGACTGCTGTAAGGGTCATGACTTGTGCTAGGAATGATCTCCCCTGAAGCAAGGGAAGGGCAGACGATCTGGAGATAATCTGTTTTTATCTGACTTGATAATGTATTTATATGACTTAAAAGTCAAAATCTGGGTGGGCTTTAGGCCTAGTGATTGTGATGCCTATATCCTACATCAGAGTACAATACCCAGCTCTGGCTTCTGACTCCAGCTTTGGGCCAGTGTAGGCCCTGGGAGGCAGTGAGAATGGCTCAAGGACTTGTGTTTCTACCACCCATGTGAGAGACCTGGATTATGTCCCTGGCTCCTGGTTTTGCCTGGCCTAGCCAGCTATTATGGGCATTTGGGGAATGAACCAGCAGATGGGAGCTCTATCTATTTGAAAGTTAGAGTTACAGAGGGAGGGGGAGAGACAGAGATATCTTCCATTCACTGGGTCACTCCATAGATTGCTGCAATGGCTAGGGCTGGGCCCGACTGAAGCCAGGAGCCTGGAGTTTCATCTGGTCTTCCATGTGGTTTCAGGGGCCCAAGCACTTGAACCATCTTCTGCTGCTTTCCCAGGCACATTAGCAGGGAGCTGGCTGGGAAGTAAAGCAGCCAAGACACAAATCTGTGCCCATATGGGATGTGGGCATCTCAGGCAGTGGCTTTACTGGCTATGCCACAATGCCAGCCCCTCAAGTATGTTTTTTAATATTTAAAAGTCAAAATGATTTTAAAAGATACACACAGAGAAGTCTCACTCTCATTAATCCTTTCTCCAATTTCCCTTCCTACCATAGATAACCATGTAAAATTTTTCTTTTATTTTTCTAGTGCTACTTCATGCAAATATAACTATATATTCTTTCTTTCTTTCTTTCTTTTCTTTCTTTTCTTTCTTTCTTTCTGGCAGAGTGGACAGTGAGAGAGAGAAACAGAGAGAAAGGTCTTCCTTTGCTGTTGGTTCACCCTCCAATGGCCAGCGCGCTGTGGCCGGCACACTGCGCTGTCCGATGGTAGGAGCCAGGTACTTATCCTGGTCTCCCACGGGGTGCAGGGCCCAAGCACCTGGGCCATCATCCACTGCACTCCCTGGCCACAGCAGAGAGCTGGCCTGGAAGAGCGGCAACCGGGAGGGACAGAATCCAGCGCCCCGACCGGGACTAGAACCCGGTGTGCCGGCGCTGCAAGGTGGAGGATTAGCCTAGTGAGCTGTGGCACTGGCCTTCTTCTTTCTTATACTTGTTTTCTTGCATAAGTAACATTTAGTTTGGGGAAGTAAGACATACACACATATAATAGGATATACATACTGATTGATATATAATATATACAGTTATATATATGTTATTTTATATATATTACTACATACATTGTTCTGCACTTTGCTTTAATCATGTGATATATTTTAGTAATCTTTTTAAAAATTATTTATTTATTTATTTATTTGAAAGTCAGAGTTACAAAGAGAAAAGGGAAGAGAGAAAATTTCTGTCTGCTGGTTCACTACCCAAATGGCTGCAACAACCAGGGCTGGGACAGGAGCCAGGAACTTCATCTAGGTCTCTCACATGGGTGCAGGGCCGCAAGCGCTTGGGGCATCTTCTGCTGCTTTCCCAGGCCATTAGCAGGGAGCTGGATAGGAAGTGGAGCTGCTGGGACTCAAACTGGCATCTACCTGGAATACCAGCACTGCAGTTGGTAGCTTAGCCCTCTGTGCCACAGCTCTGGCCCCAGAAATATTTCTGTTTTAAGAGACCTTCCTGGGGCCGGTGCTGTGGCATAGCAGGTAAGGCCACCACCTGCAGTACTGGTATCCCATATGGGCGCCGGTTCTAGTCCCGGCAGCTCCACTTCCAATCCAGCTCTGTGCTATGGCTTGGGAAAGCAGTGGAAGATGGCCCAAGTCCTTGGGCTCCTGCACCCACATAGGAGACCTAGAAGAAGCTCCCGGCTCCTGCCCCAGCCCTGGCTCGGGCTCCTGGCTTCAGATCAGTGCAGCTCCAGCCCTTATAGCCATCTGGGGGAATGAATCAATGGATGGAAGATCTCTCTCTCTCTCTCTGCCTCTGCCTCTCTGGAACTCTGCTTTCAAATAATAAATAAATGTTTTTAAAAAAAAGAGAGGGAGGGAGAGATTTTCCTCATTCTATGACATAGTAAAGACAATTATACCTTAGTTACCTTTTTGGGTGTTGCCACTCCCCAAAACTTTCTCTAGCCCCCCTCTCCTTCCCATCTTAGTCAGGAGACGCTGGTGGTCCTGGAAGCCAAGCAGTCACAGTCACTCGCGGAAGTGCTCACTCTTCGGGAAGCCCTGGAGTCAAGTCGTCTGGAAGGGGAATTACTGAGGCAAGAGCAAGCAGAAGTGACCGCAGCACTGTCTAGGGTGCGTCGGCCTCGTCTACAATTGCCGGGTGGGCGGTGGACAGAGTTGTGTCCCCAGGGGACGGGCATGCAGCCTGCCTCATTCTTCATCTTCAGGCCTATTCTTCCTCCTATTTCTGTCCCTCCCAGCACAATCGTGGGATTGGAATTAGAATGAGTTATCTAACGTATCAGTCTGGTTATGACAGTCACTTAAAAACTTCCACTTGCTTCACAGCTCTGTGATGCCACATTCAAAACCCTGTGCCATCTGCCCCAAACTGTGTTTCTAGCCTCCTCTTCCACCCCAAACCTCACCCTCAATCTGTGTCCTTTGCTTCTGCCACGTGGCGTTAACTGTGTTCTTGGTGGTACCGTGTTCTTTCATGACTGCGTATACTTTGTCCTTCATCTGATTGGCTTCTTTGTTCCCCCTTTTACTGCAGACCATTCCTCATCTCCGAATACCAACTTAATCGTCAACTCCTCTACCAAGCGTTCTTAGTTTCATATATTACTGATAGGCAGAGTGGACAGTAAGAGAGAGAGAGACAGAGAGAAAGGTCTTCCTTTTGCCATTGGTTCACCCTCCAATGGCTGCCGCGGCTGGTGCACTGCGGCCGGCACACCACGCTGATCCGATGGCAGGAACCAGGTGCTTCTCCTGGTCTCCCATGGGGTGCAGGGCCCAAGCACTTGGGCCATCCTCCACTGCACTCCCTGGCCACAGCAGAGAGCTGGCCTGGAAGAGGGGCAACCTGGACAGAATCCAGCGCCCCGACCGGGACTAGAACCCGGTGTGCCGGCACCACAAGGCGGAGTATTAGCTTATTGAGCCACGGCGCTGGCCCTCTACCAAGCATTTTTAACTGTTACAACTGAACTAATGCCTTTTAAAGCCTTCTTTGAGTTTGCAGAGCACTTTTTGGTGTCATTACATTTATGGTTGTTTCTACATCCTGGCATCTGTGCCCTGACTGTGGGCTCCTCTCTCACTCCTCAGTGAGAGGAATGTGCTGCGAATGCAAGGGAGCGGAGTGCTGACTGATCTCTGCTCCAGAAGAACAGCCGGTGTCAAGCACGTGAATTGTTTACTGTTGCAGGAAAACTGGAAATAGGACATGCTTCAATCTTCTTTGTTTTTAGGCAGAACAGTCAATTGCAGAGCTGTCAAGTTCTGAAAACAGCCTGAAGGCAGAGGTAGCTGATCTTCGGGCTGCAGCTGTCAAGCTCGGTGCCTTAAATGAGGCTTTGGCCTTAGACAAAGTTGGGCTGAACCAGCAGATTCTCCAGGTGAGCGACGACTTCTCTGGTCTGCAGGGTAGGGCTGGGCTCTGACCGTGGACAAGCCAGTGACAGAAGAAAGGGACTGATTCCCACAGGAGAGCAGAGTCCTTAATGGATCAGCTTCCAAGTGTCATTCTGAAGTGAGCACAGGGGACATTGACAGTGCAGAGCAGAGCAAAGACTGTGAAGGTTGGGCCTAGCCATCAGAAATGTCACAGATCCACCCTGGGCGTCAGGGTGCGTCATCAGAGCTGGGAAGGAGCCCATGTCTTTGGGAAAGAAGGCCAGATTCTTAGTCTATTAGGTGAGATAAGAACAGTCACCAGAAAAGGAACTGCTGAAGAGCCTGAGTACTAACGAACCTCCTCCAAAGGTTGCAGATTTAACCTATTATTGTACCAGGGAAACCTCTTGCTTCACCTGAGCCCAGAAATGTTCTAGTTCCATTATTCTGAATTCTTTGAAAGCAGGATTTGGGGTTTTTTGTCTTCAGCACCAGCATCCAGTCCAGTTAGTACCTGGAATGTAGGCTACAAATCAAATGAATGGACTTCCCCACCCCCACCCCCCAACTCTATTAAAATCTCACCTGTGTTCATCTTTGCAGACAGATTTATACCTCCCTTGGATTTCACTATATCCCTGAACCATAACCATTTGTCTTTGGTGCCCTGTACCCCTTTGTCTTTTTGGTCAGTAGTTAGAGCAGGAGAACCAGTCTGTGTGCAGCAGAGTGGAGGCAGCAGAGCAGGCGAGGAACACTTTGCAGGTAGACCTGGCGGAGGCCGAGAGGAGCAGGGAAGCCCTGTGGGAAAAGAAAACTCATCTGGAGGCTCAGCTGCATAAAGCAGAGGAGGCCAGGGCTGAGCTGCAGCTAAATCTCAAGGGCATCCAAGAAGAGAAGGAAGAAATTCAAGAGAAATTAAATGAGGTGAGAAGACAAAATTGACACGTCATGTTAAGTTGTCAGGCATGCTCCCTGTGAAAGAGAGCTGATGGCCCTAACCTAGCAGCCCCGGGGAATCCTGCCTCAGTTCTGTTCTGTAGGTCACCAGTTTCTTCCTCTCAGGCACATCACCAGCAGGAAGCAGCTGCAGCTCAGCTGGAGCTGCTGCATCAGGAGGCGAAGCGACAGGAAGAAGTGCTTGCCAGAGCAGTGCAGGAGAAGGAGGCCCTCGTGCGAGCCAGGGCATCTCTAGAGGTTCGGCTGCAGGCTGTGGAGCGGGACCGCCAGGACCTCACCGAACAGCTGCTGGGACTCAGGTAGGACCTAGACCCAGTTCAGCCAGACAGAGTTCTCAAGGCAAGAGGTGGCCATGCTAAGTTCTCAGTGTCCTGAGTTTGAGAGTGCAGAATGAGTTCTGAATTTAAAGTTGCTCCTCTAACTTCTCCAGGTAGCCAGTATTTAGAGCCCAACTCCCCTTATGGGAGAGCAGGTGGCTTGATGGGTAAGAACTCTTCCTGATTCCTGAATCTCACAGCTCTGCCAAGGAACAGCTGGAGAGCAGTTTGTTTGAGGCACAACAACAAAATTCTGTGATAGAGGTCACCAAGGGGCAGCTGGAGGTCCAGATTCAAACTGTCACTCAAGCCAAGGAAGTTATCCAAGGTGAGAACCTAATGGGATAGGACACATTGCATTCCGTGGGGCGGTGAGAACCAATAAGGCCATTAGAGGTCCTAATCGAGCCAAGGTCGGGGCCCCTGAGATGCACATGAAGACTACAGGAGAGGGAGAAATCTGTTCGATAAAGGAAAGGGGCGGGTGCTCAAAGAGCTGATCCTGCCTCGAGTGTCTTAGGAGAAGTGAGGTGTCTGAAGATGGAGCTGGACACTGAACGGAACCAGGCAGAGCAGGAGCGGAGCACAGCAGCCAGGAGGCTGGCCCAGGCTGAGCAAGAGGGGAAAACTGCCCTGGAGCAGCAGCAGGTGGCCCACGAGGAGGAGGTGCGCCGGCTCCAGGAGAACTGGGTAGGTTGTGGGTGTGGCTGAGGGAGGGAGACGCAGATGCTGCCTCTCTTCAGTGGGCACTCCACCTGCTGATCTGGTCCAGATATTGCGGCTTTGAAGAGTCGAATTCAGACACCTAGGTTAAAATCTAGCTTCTAATACTAAATGAGTTAATATATGAAACTAAGAACAGTTCTTAGCAAGAAATGAGCTCTATTTGTGTTAGCCGTGATTGTTGTTGCTTTGGTGTGTGCAAAGAATTAGAAGTGGACCCTTGGATTGAAGATTAGTAAACTGGCCCCAGGATATAAACAGGACAGAAGAATGCCTTAGATGCATTTTTGCTTGATTCAGAACTGTGTTTCTTTTTTCTTTCTTTCTTTCTTTTTTTTTTTTTTTTTTTTTTTTATAGGCAGAGTGGACAGTGAGAGAGAGAGAGACAGAGAGAAAGGTCTTCCTTTTTTGCCGTTGGTTCACCCTCCAATGGCCACCGCGGCCGGTGCACTGCGCTGATCCGAAGGCAGGAGCCAGGTACTTATCCTGGTCTCCCATGGGGTGCAGGGCCCAAGTACTTGGGCCATCCTCCACTGCGCTCCCTGGCCACAGCAGAGAGCTGGCCTGGAAGAGGAGCAACCGGGACAGAATCCGGCACCCTGACCGGGACTAGAACTTGGTGTGTTGGCGCCGCTAGGCGGAGGATTAGCCTAGTGAGCCGCGGCGCCGGCCTTTTCTTTATTTGAAAGAGTTACAGAGGGAAAGGGAGAGACAGGGAGATAGAGAATTTCTATCTACTGGTTCACTCCCCAGATGGCTGCAATGGCCAGGGCTGAGCCAGGTGCTTTTTCTGGGACTCCCACATGGGCATCTGGGGCACAAGCACTTGGGCAATCATCTGCTGCTTTTCCCAGACCATTAACAGAGAGCTGGATTAGAGGTGGAGCAGCCCAAACATGAACCAGCGCTTCTGTGGGATGCTGCACTGCAGGCGGCAGCTTTACACACTACACCTCCACACTAGCCCCTTCTTTGTTATTAAATTATGTAATGTTCATTTGCTTTTATTATGATTTTAGGTATATTTGGATTTATTCCTGATATCTTATGTTATTTGTCCTGCCTTGTTTTATCTTTTGGGGAAGGGAGATCATCTTTCTTCACTTTATTTAGAGAATATAATTAGATGACTAAATTGTATTCTTTTCTCATTTTTTTCACAAATATTGGATGATATGTACTATATTCTAAAAAATTACGTTAGTGATTAATTTTAAAATATACATAATAAAATCTGAAGTTAATGAGTATTTTTACTCTTTTCCTGAATGACCAAGAAACTTTTTACCTGTATTTACTCTTTCTTCACTTTTTTTTTTTAAAGATTTATTTTATTTATCTGAGAGGTAGAGTTACAGACAGAGAGAGGGAGAGACAAAGAGAGAGATCTTCCATGCACTGGTTCACTCCCCAAATGGCCACAACAGCTGAAACTGGGAGCCAGGAGCTTCTTCTGGGCCTCCCATGTGAGTGCAGGGGCCATGGCAGAGAGCTGGATTGGAAGTGGAGCAGCCAGGACTGGAATTAGCATCCATATGGGATGTTGGTACTGCAGGTGGCGGCTTTACCTGCTATGCCACAGCGCTGGCCCTTCTTCTTCTTTTTTTTTTTTTTTTTTTTTTTTTTATGTTTTGACAGGCAGAGTGGACAGTGAGAGAGAGACAGAGAGAGAAAGGTCTTCCTTTTGCCGTTGGTTCACCCTCCAGTGGCCGCCGCTGCAGCGGGCGCACCGTGCTGATCCGATGGCAGGAGCCAGGAGCCAGGTGCTTTTTCCTGGTCTCCCATGGGGTGCAGGGCCCAAGCACCTGGGCCATCCTCCACTGCACTCCCTGGCCATAGCAGAGAGCTGGCCTGGAAGAGGGGCAACCGGGACAGAATCCAGCGCCCCGACCGGGACTAGAACCCGGTGTGCCGGCGCCGCAAGGTGGAGGATTAGCCTATTGAGCCACGGCGCCGGCCTTTTTCTTTCTTATAATTTATTTATTTGAAAGTCAGAGTTTAAAAGAGAGGGGGAGAAATAGATCTTCTATCTGCTGATTTACTCCCCAAGTGGACACAATGGCCAGGGCTGAACCTGGCTTCAGCCAGGATCCAAGAACGTCATCCTGGTCTCCCACACGGATGACAGGGGCCCAAGCACTTAGGCCATCTTCCACTGCTTTTCCCAGGCCATTAGCAGGAAGCTGGGTCAAAAGTGGAGCAGCCAAGACACAAACTGCTGCCCATATAGAATGCCAGTGTCACAGGTAGCAGCTTTACCCACTGTGCCACAACACTGGCCCCCTATATTCACTCCTCCCTGACTTATGTGCTTTTGTGTTCAATATATTCAGAGAGATGAAGGGGCCAGTGTTGTGGCATAGCAGGTAAAGCTACCACGTGCAGCAGTAGCATTCCATATTGGTGCCAGTTGGAGTCCTGGCACCTCCTCTTCTAATAATCTAGCTCCCTGCTTGTGTGCTTAAGAAAGCAGTGGGAAATAGCCCAAGTCCCTGGACCACTGCCACCCACATGGGAGACCTGGAAGAAGCTCCTGGCTTCTGCCTGGCCCAGCCACTGTCGTTGCAGCCATTTGAAGAGTAAACCAGCAGATAGAAGATCTTCTCTCTATCTCTTTCTCTCTGTTTCTCCTTCTCTGTAATTCTGCCTTTCAAATAAATACATCTTTAAAAGTATTTGAAAAAGCAGAGACAGAGAGAAATCTCCCACTCACTGATTCACTCCTCAGATGCCCACAACAGCTGGGGCTGAGCCAGGTTGAAGTGGGGGGCCAGGAATTCCATTTGGATTTCCCTTACAATTGGCAGGGGAGGAGAAGGTAGAGGAAAAGCATGAAAAGGGATTAAGATTTGCAAGTGTTTAGCATACTCATGGACTTGACAGGAGGTCAGTGTGGCCAGAAAGAAGGTCAGAATGTCATGCAGGGACGGCTGCACAAGATGATGTTGGAAAGGAAAGGGCTGGAACAGTAAAGGCATGCCCATAAATGAATAGCTAACTGCCAACTTATAAACATTTGTAAGGAATGGCACAAGGAACTACTGATGCAATGATGTTGCTAGCTGTTATGTACTGACTGCTTTCTGTATTCTGAGCACTGTTTAACATGATTTATGTTAGGGCCAGCTTTGTGGTGCAGCCTGAGGCACCAGCATCCCATATGAATGCCAGTTTGAGTCCCACCTGCTTTACTTCCAGTCCAGGTCCCTGCTAATGCACCTGGGAAAGCAGTGGAAAATGGCCCAAGTACTTGGAGCCTTGCATCCATGTGGGAGACCCAGATGAAGTTCAGAGCTCCTGACTTCAGTCTGGTACAGCCATAGCCATTGCAGCCATTTGGGGAGTGAACCAGCAGATAGAAATTCTCTATCTCTCCCTTTCTCTGTAACTCTGCCTTTCAGGATAAATGAATCTTTTGGGGCGGGTGCTGTAGTGTAGCACTGTCCCTGTGACGTTGCATCTCATATGTATGCTCATTCAAATCCTGGCTGCTCCACTTCTGATCCAACTCCCTGCTAATGTGCCTGGGAAAGCAGTTTAAGATGACCCAAGTACTTGGGCCCCTGCATCCACGTGGAAGACCAGGAGAAAGCTCCTGGCTCCTGGCTTCAGATTGATCCAGCTCTAGCTGTTGCAGCCATTTGGGGAGTGAACCAGCAGATGGGAGATCTCTCTGTTTCTCTCTCTCTCTTTCTCTCTCTCTCTCTCTGACTCTGCCTTTTAAATAAATAAATAAATATTTAAAAAATAGAAATAAAGTGATTCATGTGACTTAGCTCTATCCTCAGAGCACCCTAGGAGGACACCGTTGTTATCCCCATTTTTATTGATGAGGAAACTGAGGCACAGAGATATTTAGAAAGCAACTGAGGTCCCACCTGCAATGGTGGATTATAGGCTGTCACCCAGGCACACAGCCTGACTTGAGTACCTTCCACCATATCCTGAGAACCTAATAGAGGGTAGCTAGGAGATTGGAAGGCTTTGGTCAGTGGTGGACCTCTGGAAGAACCAGGGCCCCTCTCCTAATCTCTTTTTCTTTTCCAAAGATGCCTTCTATTTATTGAGTACAAATTTGATAAGTACAACTTTAAGTAATATAGTGCTTCTTCCCCCTATACCTGCATTCCCACCCCCGCTCCCACCCCTCCTAATCTCTTTTATAAGGTAGGGAGTATCCCAATCTGGGCCAAGGCTGACTTTTCAGTGGCTAAGTCTGCAACCCTGAGCAGCAGAGTGGGTTGAGCCAGAGTCACCGCCTCAGCTCATGGTTGCAGTGGCCAGCTGTGTTGTGGTTGCTGTGAGGATAATGGACACTTGTGGTTTATATGAGGGACAGAATGCACTTTAGAAAGCAGTTGTACATGTATTAATAATTTGATTGTTTTATAAATCCCATTTGGCTCATAAATTTGGCGAGCTAGATGAGGCAGGGGTTACAGGCCTAGAGAATTACTGAGAGTTTCCACAGCTCCTGAGAGTTTAGGGAGAGTCTCAGTACAGGCCCCTTCTTCTGCCTCCTTTCCTCACCCTTGTGGTTCTAACAATGTTTCTTTCACGCGGCCAGGAGAAGGAGCGTGCCCGGCACCAGCAGGAGCTGGCTAAGGTTCTGGAGAGCCTGGAGAGGGAGAAGCTGGAGCTGGAAATGAGAATGAGGGAACTGCAGACAGAAACGGAGGCCCTCCGGGCACAACGGGAAGAGGAGCGGACGCAGGCAGAGAGCGCCCTGTGCCAGGTGAGGAGCTGCGAGCCCTAGAGCCCTGACCACTTCCTTCTCGTGGTGCTGCAGCGGGGCTTGCAGGAGAGAATGCAGCTGTCCACCTTGCTCCCGGTGAGCAGGGTCCCCCACCATCAGCTGCAGGTCCCGCAGTACGTCACACTTCCTGAGGGAGGGCTGTCGTGTACCACATCCTGTCAGTGAGCAAACCAGTTTCAAGCTTTGTACTTCCTGGTTCTGATGCAATGAGTTCAGAACTTCCTCTGCCCTCAGCCCCACCCCATTTGCTAGACTAGTCCTAGAGCAGCTGGGCTTATGGCCTCGTGGGTGGGCATGCTAACCCTAAGCCAGCAAGCCCTTGCCCTCCCCACCCCTCCACAGATGCAGCTGGAAACGGAGAAGGAGAGAGTGTCCCTCCTGGAGACCCTGCTGCAGACCCAGAAGGAGCTGGCAGATGCCAGCCAGCAGCTGGAACGACTGAGACAGGACATGAAGGTGCAGAAGTTAAGGGAGCAGGTATGGAGCGTGGTCCTGGGCAGGGGCATGCCGCACCCATTCGGCATGGCATCGTTCATTGGCACTCAGGCACCGTGTCTTGGGCGAGGTGCTAGCCTGTTATGGGTATGGTAAAGGCGTGACCTGACACGCCTCCCGACAGACATGGTCCCTGCCCTCAAGGAACTTAACATTCCAGTGGCAGAGACAATGAAAAATAAGCAGACATAGACAAGATAATTACAGATTGCAGTGAGTGCTCTAAAGGAAATAAATAGGATGATGTAATTCAGAGTGATTCAAAGGAGGCCACCTTAGGAATGGCTACTGCTGAAAAAGTGATGTTTGAGCTGAGATGTGAAGGTTGAAAAGAAGCCAGTCCCTCATCTGCGGCACCAGCATCCCATACGGACTCTGATTTGAGTCCCGGCTGCTCCACTTCTGATCCAGCTCCCTGCTAATGTGCCTGGGAAAGCAGTGGAAGATGGCTCGAGTCCTTGGGCCCCTGCATCCACATGGGAGACCTGGATGGAGCTCGTAGCTTCTGGCATTGGCCTGGCCCAGCCCTGGCCATTGTGGCCATTTGGGGAGTAAACAGTGGATGGAAGATCTCTCTCTCTCACCCTTTCCATAATTCTTTCAAATAAATGAATCTTTAAAAAAGAAAAGAAGCCAGCCCCATGGTATAACGTAGGTGAACCCTGAAAATATCCTGCTAAGTAACATAAATCATTCCTAAGATTATAGTTCCCTCCATATGAAATGTCCAAAACAGGCAAATCTATAAAGACAGAAAACAAATTAGTGGGTGGGTTGGGAGTGGAGGAAGGAGATGAGATTAGGGGTGAGGTGACTGATGCAGAATGACTACTATTGGAGATAAATATATATATATATATACACACACACATATATATATATTGGCTTTTAAAATGTATATATATATATATATATATATATATATATATATATATATTCAAGTATATATGTACTTGAAAGGCAGAGAGACAGGTAGATCTTCTATGTCTCCAAATGTCCCAATAGCCAGGTTGACGCCAGGAGCTAGGAAACTGGTCCAGGTCTCCCACTTGATTGCAGGGACCCAGCTGCTTGGACCATCACATGCTGCCTGCCAGGGTGTGAATTAGAAGGAAGCTAGAATCAGAGTGGAGCCTGGACTTGAACCCAAGCCCTCTGATATGGTGTGTGGGGTTCCCAAGTGACGTCTGTACTGATTGCCCTTAGGTACAGAATTTCTCTTGGGGTGATAAAAGTGGTTTAAGGGGCCGGCACTGTGGCATAGCAGGTAAAGCCGCAGCCTGCAGTGCTGGCATCCCATATGGGTGCCGTTTGAGTCCCGGCTGCTCAATTTCCAATCCAGCTCTCTGCTATGGCCTCCGAAAGCAATAGAAGATGGCCCAAGTCCTTGGGCCCCTGCACCCAGAAGAGGCTTCTGGATTCGGATCAGCACTGCTCTTGGCCATTGCGGCCAATTGGGGAGTGAACCAGTGGATGGAAGACCTCTCTCTCTCTCTGCCTCTCTCTGCCTCTCCTTCTCTCTCTGTGTAACTCTGACTTCCAAATAAATAAATAAATCTTTAAAAAAAAAAGTGTTTTAAAAAAGTCCATCATTTGAAGAACATTGCAGGTCAAGGGAAAGCCATCAGAAGGCCTAGTACAGACAGAAAGTGTCTCAGGAGTTTGAAGTACAGAAAGGAGGCAGTGTGGCTTCAGTGCAGTGGGCTCAGGGGTGTGGAGAGAGGTAGGTGGGAGCCCATTGTCAATCACAGTAGGTGCTTGGGTTTTGTTCTAGGGCAGTGGGAACTGTTGGATAGTATTTAAATAGCAAAATAGCAGGAGGGGAACATGAATGGAGAATAGTTTGTGTGTGTGTGTATGCGTGTGCTGCTAGGGTGTCATGTTGTCAGGCAGAAGTAGGGGTATAGTCAGCAGGCTATTGCGATGGTCTGGGTAAGGGGCTGTTACCACCTTGGACCCTGACTAAAGAACCTGGGCGAGCCCATGCACTTTGTGAGGGAGGGGAGGGACTAGGAGGCAAGGATCTGAGGTGGGAATAGCATAGAAGCATAGATGACTGGCTCCACCTCAGCCTTTGCCAATCCAGCAGAAAATGGCAATATTTATACTACATTGATTATTATTATTATTATTTTTTGACAGGCAGAGTTAGAGAGACAGAGAGAAAGGTCTTCCTTTTCCATTGGTTCACCCCACAAATGGCCGCCACAGCCGGCGTGGTGTGCCGATCCGAAGCCAGGAGCCAGGTGCTTCCTCCTGGTCTCCCATGCGGGTGCAGGGCCCAAACACTTGGGCCATCCTCCACTGCCTTCCCGGGCCACAGCAGAGAGCTGGCCTGGAAGAGGGGCAACCGGGACAGAATCCGGTGCCCCGACCGGGACTAGAACCTGGTGTGCCGGTGCCGCAAGGCGGAGGGTTAGCCAAGTGAGCCGCGGTGCCGGCCTTATACTACATTGATTTTGAGACCAAGGCCCCTGTGGGGGCTCTCCTGTCCTCACTGATGTCTTCTCCCTTTGCAGGAGACCACTGAGCTGCTGCAGGCCCAGCTGCGGGAGGCTCAGCAGGAGCTGAAGGAGGCCACCCAGCAGCACAGAGACGACCTCGCCGTCCTCCGAGAAGAGGGCTGCAGTCTGCTGCAGGATAAGAGAGACCTGCAGCAGCAGGTGTCTGCCTCCTCCCCGCTCCTCCCCACAGCCCTCCCCAGCACAGCCAGCCTCTCCCACTTTGCTTCCACAGGGTGGGGGGAGCCCCAGTCCTGCTGCCCAAGCTGGGAAGGGTCGGGGCAGCCCTGGGCTGAGTGGACCTTGCAGGATGCTCAGAGCTGAGCGTGTGCCTCTGCAGCCCTGGCGTGGCAGTCTCTCTCCTCTGTAGTGATCAGGGAGCTCAGGTTTTCTCGGGCAGTCCCAGGTTCAGTTGTTCTTCCCATCCTCCCTGTAAGTCCAGTGTTCTCATGTACCAGATTGCTTTTCCTTCTCAGAGTCCTTTTTCAGATAATGTTCTGATTTTTCATTTAAAACACGATAATCACTATTCACTTGCCCTCACTTTACCTTTGAACATAGTTCTTTCTGTTCAGCTAAGATTTTTATCGTGCCTGCTTTTACACATATATGTGAGGCCAGGGAGACAGATAACCAGCATGAACAGTACTGTTGTAAGACTGGTGTGTAGGGATTGGTAGAGGCTGCAGAGCATTGGAAATGGGCCACTGACTGTGAACCAGTGGATGGAAGACCTCTCTCTCTTTCTCTGCCTCTCTCTGCCTCTCCTTCTCTCTCTGTGTAACTCTGACTTCGTAGATCGTAGGCTGAACACATTTTCCTACTGGCCCACTACCCTGCCATCTCACCTTTACACCCTTAACTTTCCAGGTGGAGGACTTGAAGTCTCAGCTGGTTACCCAGGATGACTCCCAGAGGCTGTTGGAGCAGGCAGTTCAGGAGAAGTTGAGAGAGGCCCAGGAGTGTAGCCAGATTCAGAAGGAGCTGGAGAGAGAGAAAGCCAGGTAGGTTAGACAGCTACGGAGGTGAGTTTTGCTTTTCTGGCTACAATGATCACTGTGACATTGACAATTCTTTGTTGGGTCATCTAGCCTTTCATGTCTCCAGCTCTGATATACAGATGAAACCCTGTGGTGAAGACATGGCTGCTATCTTCAGAGCTTATACTGAATTCATTTAACACATATTTAGAGAATACCCATTATGCACCAGGCACCCTGCCAGAGTTGGGGAGACGGTGGTAAACAAGACAGTGTGGTCTCATTGAACTTTATAGTGTTGTGGGGAGAGTTTAATCAAATATTCCTCTGAACAAATTATTACAGATTGTGATATATGCATGGAGGAAAGAAATAGGGTATGAAAGAAACCTACATTATTGTTAGGAAAGGCCTTTCTCAGGAGGTTGCATTTAAACTGAGCATTGAAAGATGAAATGGAGCCATCTAGGCAAAGGAGTGAGGGAGAGTTCTAGATAGTAGGAATAGTAGGAATAGAAATCATGTGCAAAGGCCCTGAGGCAGATAAAAGCTGACAGTATTTGGTGAAATGGCAAGTACAGTGTAACTGGAGCGTGGTGAGTAAGAAGAGTTGACAAGTCTATGTCATTCGGGTGTTACAAGCCACGTGAGGAGTATCGTGAGTGACGCAGGAGCATGCAGAATGTAGAGCAGCATGTGTGCACAGGCTGCAGGAGTTTGAGAAGAGACAGATGTTGTTGATGAAACTGAGGCAGAAAGACAAGAGCTCGTACAGGTGTCTAGACGAGAGGTACTAAAGTTGAGCTGGGGTAGGGTAGTGGGCAAAAGAGGAAAGAAGGGACATTAAGGGAGGCAGAATCAATTGTATACAGTTACAGATTGGCCGTGGGTGGCGTGAAGGGGAAGTAGGCAGAGTTGCTGGAAGGAAGAGCCATTCACGGAGCTGGGAACCAGCATGCAGGGGATAGCAGGAGCGAGTGAGTGGGAATGGGGGTGCAAAGGACTTGGGAAGCTTTGGAACTATGGAATTTGAGCTATATTTGGAATTTGCTAGAGAAGAATAAATTGTGAGGCTACAAAGAGGCGTGATATGCGTGAAGGACCTGAGAATACGTGGTAGGTACTCAGCAAGTGATTGCTTCTGTTGTTACTCTAAAATAAGTGTTGTTACTACTTCTGTTTTAATTATTAATGCTGTATTTAGAACAGTTAGATGAGAAGTTAGCTTTTCATTCCCTGAGAGAATGGCCTAGCCCTTTGACCCCCTCTCTTCTTAGCCTGACTCTGTCGCTGGCGGAAAAGGAACAGAGACTCCTTGTTTTAGAAGAAGCTGATTCTGTTCGACAGCAAGAGCTGAGCTCCCTGCGGCAGGACGTGCAGGAGGCCCAGGAAGGGCAGAAAGAGCTCAGTGCCCAGGTACTTCCCACTCTGCCGGGAGCCCTGCCTCCTCAGTGGAAGCGTGTGCAGGAGGCAATGGGGAATTGCCCAGGGTGGAGGACTCTTCTCTCTTCCTAAATTACAGGAGAAGATGAGACCTCCACAGCCCTGGCAGGAGAGGGTAGCCAGATGCAGCAGGGTGGGGACTTGTGGGGAACCTGGAAGCCCAGAACATAATAAATACCCAAAGGTGCAGAGTCGGTGCAGGCCTGGTCCTGCACAGCCAGTTCCTAGTGTGTTTGGTCTGCTGGCAATAAGGGTACTTGAGCAACCAGTAACACTCCAGATCAGTTAGGCAGCAGCAAAAGGACTTCTAGGGACCCCGTCTGCTCACTGCAGGACCCTGAAGTTGGGTACAGAGAGGTGAAACTGGGAGGGAAAGAGTCAGGCAGTGAGAGCCAGACAGTAGATTGCAGTGGGTAAGGACACAGGTCAGGCTGTTAGTCCCAAGTTTGACTGCCAGCTTTATAGCTTCCTAGTTGTGAGGGTGTCAGTTTCTTCATCTTTAAACAAAGATAATAATTCTTAACCATTGTAGGAATATATAAAGTGTTAGTAGCACACTAAGCATTCAGGAAATGGTAGTATCCACTATTATTGTGATTGGCTTTATTAGGCTCGGTGTCAGGCTTTGAGGGCAGAGAGATCTCACCACGGCAGGAAGCTGGCCTGTCTGCCCAGAACAACAGAGCCCAATCCCATTTGTTAGCCTGGGCCCATGTGTCAGGAGTCAGTGAGGATCCAGATGTCAGATCCAGGGTAACACTCATTTCAGAGCCCCCTTACCTGCTAGGGAGTTGAGCCTGCAGAAATCCTCCCAGCCCTGATCAGAGTTTGTCCAGGGATCGAGTGTGGTCAGCCCTGGGAGCATCGGAACAGGGTGCTCACTCCTGCTCAGACCAAGTGTGCTTCCTCCCTGGCAGGTGGAGCTACTGAGGCAGGAGGTGAAGGAAAAGGAGGCTGATTTTCTGGCCCAGGAAGCAGAGCTGCTGGAGGAGCTGGAGGCGTCTCGGGTCACAGAGAAGCAGCTGAGAGCTTCCTTGTGGGCCCAGGAGGCCGAGGCAGCCCAACTGCAGCTGCAGCTGCGCAGCACGGAGAGCCAGCTGGCGGCGCTGGCCGCAGAGCAGCAGCCTGGGAGCTGTGCTCAGGCCCAGCTTGCCAAGCTCTGCTGTGTCCTGCAGCAGGCCCTAGGGTCTGTCTGTGAGAGCAGGCCTGACCGGGGGGGTGGGGGAGACTCTGCTCCCTCCCTCTGGGGCCCTGAACCAGGTGAGGTGCCGCCCGAGAACTAAGTCCTTTGGGCCAAAGCCAGGCCCAGCTCCCAGGGGAGAGGGCGGTGAGTGCAGTTCATTAGGCAATATTGCATGAAGGTTACAGCCACAGACTGGAATTAATTCTATCCAAGTGTGAACCCTGGTTCTGTTTGCTAGCCTCCTTGGCATATCACTTCTGATTTTCCTCAACTATAAAATGAGGATGTTAAAAGCACCTACCTCAGAATTTTCCTGAAGAGTTAATGAGATTACAATGTAAGTGAATAGCTTACGCAGTTCCTGGCACTTACTAAGTGCATAATGAATGATACCTACCATTATGTGGTGCCCACTGTAGTGCCTGGCACATGGGTACACAGAAAACACGTGACGGGCCCTTTGAGAAGAGGAAGGACCACGTCTGGGGAGGGATGGCTGTTTCTTTTCATAGCACAACAGGCAAGGAGATTTTCCTCATTTCTTCAGACCAGAATGGCGCTAGGAGCCTCTTTAAGAGAGGGCCCCTCCTGACTGCCCTCTCGGCTGAGGCGGTGGCCTCTGCCCTCCACAAGCTTCACCAAGACCTGTGGAAGAGTCAGCAGGCCCGGGTATGTCTCCTGTCCTCCTTCCTTGAGCCCTTCCCTCCCCTCCCCTGAAGAACATGAGACAGAGACTCATGCAGTGGCTTGGCCTGTTCCTTTCCTAGATCAGGTTGGGATGCGTCCCATGTCTGTGGTGTTCTGCCCAGCAACCCTGAATAGGGTACTTGGAGTTCCTCTGCCCTGTTTTCACCCCTGCCTCTCAGGGTTGTTGTGAGGACCGTGAATGAGTACTCTAAATTACAAACCCTCACAAATGTGTGGGGTTTTGTATACCATTTTCCTCTCAGCCATGAGTGGCCTCCAAGAGAAACCCACCAAGTTAGTGAATGCTGAGATTTGAAGATGCCTTTTCTAGGAACATTCTAGGCCTAAGACTGAAATCAAGGTCGCACAGGCAGGCATTTTGCACAGTGGTTGCCGCTGCTTGGGATGCCTGCGTCTCATATGGGAGTGCTTGGTTTAAGTCTCAAGATCCTTTACTTATTTTTTGTTTTGTTTGTTTATTTGAAAGAGTTACAGAGAGAGAGGGAGACACACACACACACACACACACATGTGCACAGAGAGAGAGATCTTCCATCCGCTAGTTCACTCCCCAGATGACCAAGAGCCAGGAGCTTCTTCCAGATCTCCTATGTGGGTGGCAGGGGCCCAAACACTTGGGCCATCCTATGCTGCTTTCCTAGGCACATTAGCATGGAGTGGGATTGGAAGTGGAGCCCGTATGGGGAGCTGGCATTGCAGGCAGCAGTTTTACTTGCCACACCACAATGCTGGCCCTATCTCTTCTGCTTCTTTTTTTTCTCTTTAAAGATTTATTTATTTATTTATTTGAGAAGTAGAGTTATAGACAGTGAGAAGGAGAGACAGAGAGAAAGGTCTTCTGTCTGCTGGTTCACTCTCCAAATGGCTGCAATGGCCAGAGCTGTGTCAGTCTGAAGCCAGGAGCTTCTTCCGGGTCTCCCACGTGGGTGCAGGGGCCCAAGGACTTGGGCCATCTTCTACTGCTTTCCCAGGCCATAGCAGAGAGCTGGATGGGAAGAGGAGCAGCCGGGATGAGAACCGGTGCCCATATGGGATGCCAGCGCTGCAGGCAGAGGATTAACCTACTGTGCCACAGCGCTGGCCCCCTTTTCTGCTTCTGATTCAGTTTCCTGCTACTGTACATTTTGGGAGAGAATAGATGTTGGCTCAAGTACTTGGGTTCCTGGCTTCAGCCTGGCCCAGCCTTGGCTGTTGCAGCCATTTGAAGAGTGAACCTGTAAATGGAAGATCTCTCTCTTACTCTGTCTCTCCCCCTCTCTGTCTGTAATTCTGACTTTCAAATAAATGAAAAAAACCTTTTAAAAATGTCCCACAAATTCTGCCTCACAGTGAGGCTAGTGGTCAGTATAAACTGAGTGCCACCTACATGCCAGCCACTCCGAGTTGCATATATGGAAAGGAGTAAACATTGATCTCTTCCCTCAGGAACACTTGTGATAGTGTTGGTGTTGTGGCGTAGCAGCTAAAGCAACCACCTGCAATGCTGGCATCCCAAATGGGTGCTGGTTTGTATCCTGGCTGTTTGATTTCTGATCCAACTCTGCTAATGCACAGGGATTGCAGTGGAAGATGCCCCAAGTGCTTGGGCCCCTGCACCCACATGAGAGACCTGGATGAAGCTCCAGGCTTCAGCCTTGCCCAGCCCCAGCCATCGAGGCCACTGTGGGTGAACCAGCAGGTGGAAAATCTCTCTCTGTCCTTCTTTGTGACTCTGCCTTTCAAATAAATAAATCTTTTTTTTTTTTTTTTTTTTTTAATTTTTGACAGGCAGAGTGGACAGTGAGAGAGAGAGACAGAGAGAGAAAGAGAGAAAGGTCTTCCTTTTTGCCGTTGGTTCACCCTCCAATGGCCGCCGCTGCAGCCGGCGCACCGCGCTGATCCGATGGCAGGAGCCAGGATCCAGGTGCTTTTCCTGGTCTCCCATGGGGTGCAGGGCCCAAGCACCTGGGCCATCCTCCACTGCACTCCCTGGCCATAGCAGAGAGCTGGCCTGGAAGAGGGGCAACCGGGACAGAATCCGGCGCCCCAACCGGGACTAGAACCCGGCGCCCCAACCGGGACTAGAACCCGGTGTGCCGGCGCCGCAAGGTGGAGGATTAGCCTATTGAGCCACGGCGCCGGCTCCAAATAAATAAATCTTAAAGAAAGAATCTTGTGACAGGCAGAGGAGCCAAACTGCATTCTTATGGAAAACAGAAGAGGAGTCACCTGATCAATAATGGGCACAAATGATGTATGTTGAACTAAGAGGAAGGAAGAGCAATTCATTCTGTCTTGGCGAAGGTCAGGAGAAAGGAACAGATGATCTTTGGGATTAGCTTTTACTGTATTTTAAAAATTTTATATATTTGAAAGGCAGAGAGGAAGAGAGATCTTCCCATCCACTGGTTTACTCCCCAGATGCCCACAACAGTGAGGGGGCTGGGCCAGGCTGAAGCCATGAGTTAGGAACACAATCCAGGTGGCAGAGACTCAAGTACTTGAGCCATCACCTGCAGCCTCCTAAGATGCGCCTTAGCAACAGACTGGAATCAAGGGGTGCCAGGACCCAAACCAGGCACTCTGATATGGGATGCGGTTCCCAAGTGGTGTCGTAACCACTGTTTTGAATGCCTACCTCTGAGCTCACCTTTGAAATAGGAGTTTGGGAGGAGAGTGGTGAGTCCTGGACTAAGACTTTAGCAAGAGTTCTGTTTCAGAAGACATAGACAGGTCAGAAGGGGTTTCTCAACTCCCATCAGCTGGAGCAGAATCTGTTATGGGGAGCTGAACACCCGAGTTCAATCTGGGAGTAGGTCCAGGGTGGCAGACCACCCTGTGGCCGAGAGTGAGCTGAGAGCTTGAGGCCTGTCAGGAGAGCTTTGTGGACGATGAGGAACTTGAGGTCCTCCCTGCCTGTTTTCCCAGGATGATCTGAGGGATCAGGTCCGGAAGCTGGAACAGCATCTGACCGAAGCTGAGGCTGACAAGAGCCAGCTCCATGCAGAGCTGCAGGACCTGCAGCAACAGCTGACCCAGAACCTGGAAGGTGAGACACTGCAGGTGGGCAGGAGGGCAGAGCATGGGTGGCGTGCCTGGAAGGGGCAGGGACAGGCCTAGCAGCGCCTCTTTATTGTCTATCTACATGAGGAGATACATCTAGAGGCATCTCCATAGGGTAGGAGCCCCTTGGCCTATTTCTGTGCTTCAGTTGGCCTTTGAGGGGCAACCCTGAAGGATCTAGAAGAAGGGATTTGGTGAACCGAGAGCAGGTGCTGGGCTGGGCTTCAGTTTTCTGTCTCTGCAGGAGATAAAAACCACTGGGAGACTCAAGGCCAGGACTAGGAGAACACAATACAATTCTGTGACTTTGTCATTTGTGTGCATTATTTATTTTTATATTCTATTGCATGTCTTCAAAATTAGCCTTTGATGGCAGAAGACTATTTAGGAGAAAACAAAGAGAGGGAATCCAGGGAGACCTTGTCCACACTACAGCCAAGGGCTGGAAGGGGAGATGGCCACTGGAGAGGAGAGGAGAGGAGAGGAGAGGAGAGGAGAGGAGAGGAGAGGAGAGGAGACCCAAGGCTCTTCTGGAGAGGAAGACAGTTTAGGTAGTGGGTCTGGCCTTTCTGGGAGTCCTTGTGGAGTGCTCCCCGGAAACCACACAAATAGAGCTGAGTTCCACTGCATGTTGCAGAAATGGGGACAGGGTTGGGGGAAGCCAACCTGCAGAGCCACCAGGTCTCTAAGAACCTTTGCAACTGCGGAATAGCAGGGACCTCCAGTGTCAGCTAGCTCAACCCTTTATGGAATCCAAGGGTGAAGAGGATCTCTCTGTGATCAGGATAGATAAAGAAGTGTTAGGATGACTAACAGCAGGGCTGGGGCTGGCAGCCCATAGACGCGAATGCAGAGCAGCAGGGAGCCTGGACACACAGGAGCAGCTGGCAGGTGGGGGATACCTCCAGGAGGCTGGATGTAATTCTCTCCTTCTTAGCTTCTTCCCTTTGATTCGCTTCCCTGTCCTCCATCTGCCTCTGTATGCCTCTTTTCCCCACCCCCAACCATGAGCCTGTTGCCCCTCCCTTTCTCTCCCAAGAAAAATCCAAGTGGGAAGGAAAACAGAACTCCATGGAATCTGAGCTGAAGGAACTGCACGAAACTGTGGCTTCCTTACAGGGTCACCTAAGGCAAGCAGAGCTGCAGAGAATGGAAGCCCAGGTAAGGTGGCACTAGTTTTGGGGGAAGATTGCCCCAAGGGTAGTCCCTTGGGGCCCAAGGCCCACTTCAGCTTATGATCATGGGCCAACTTCCTTTAGTAAGTCTTTTGATTCTTCTGGCTTTCCCCCTGTTCTTCAGAGTCATTGTTGAGGTCCCAATCATTCCTCCTCCAATTATTCTCTTGAATTGAGATTGAGGTTTTTGTCCCTTATCCTTAAGGCGCAGAATATGGGGTGCCTCATTTGTGCCAGTCTCCCCTGGGAGGTAGTGGGGAGATGCCACTCCACACTTCCCCCACCGCTCAAATCCTTGTCTTTGCTGGTGCCAGAGAATGAGGAAGAGAAAGGCCAGCATTGGAGTGACTGTTAGGAAGTGTAGACTAAGTTGGTTTTGCGTCTTGTTTTCCAGGGTGAGCGAGAGTTACTTCAGGTAGCCAAGGAGAACCTGACAGCCCGCGTGGAACAGCTGCAGGCATCTGTTGCAGAAGCCAGGGCTCAGGCGAGCGCAGCTGGCATCCTAGAAGAACACCTGCGGACGGTGCGCTCGGCGCTGAAACGGAAAAATGAGGAGGTGGAGAGTGAGCGTGAGAGAGCCCAGGCCCTCCAGGAGCAGGGTGAGCTGAAGGTGGCCCAAGGCAAGGCTCTGCAGGAGAACTTGGCTCTGCTGACCCAGACTCTATCTGAGAAAGAAGGGCAGGTGGAGACTTTGCAAGGAGAAATCCTGGAACTGGAGAAGCAACGGGAAATGCAGAAGGCTGCCTTAGAGCTGCTGTCCCTGGACCTGAAGAAGAGGAACCAAGAGGTGGATCTGCAACAGGAACAGATTCAGGAGCTGGAGCAGTGTAGGTCTGTTTTGGAGCATCTGCCCATGGCGGTTCAGGAGCGAGAGCAGCAGCTGGCTGTGCAGAGGGAGCAGATCAGAGAGCTCGAGAAGGATCGGGAGACCCAGAGGAGCCTCTTGGAGCATCAGCTTCTGGACCTGGAGAAGAAGGCCCAGGTGATTGAGTCCCAGAGAGGGCAGATTCAGGATCTGAGAAAGCAGCTGGCTACTCTGGAATGCCTGGCCCTGGAACTGGAAGAAAGCCACCACAGGGTGGAGTGCCAGCACAAGGTGATCGAGGAGCTGGAGGGCCAGAGGGAAATGCAGAGGGCGGCTCTGACCCAGCTCACGCTGGACTTGGAGGAAAGGAGCCAGGAGCTGCAGGCACAAAGCAGCCAGATCCATGAGCTCGAGAGCCACAGCACCCTTCTGGCGAGAGAGCTGCAGGAGAGGGAGCAGGAAGTGAAGTCCCAGCACGAACAGGTCAAGGAGCTGCAGAGGCAGAATGAGCACCTGGCTCAGGACCTTGAGAGGAGGGGACAGGAGCTGGTGCTGCAGAAGGAGAGGATTCAGGTTCTAGAAGATCAGAGGACACTGCAGACCAAGCTCTTGGAGGAGGACCTGGAACAGATCAAGCTGTCCTTGAGAGAGCGAGGCCGGGAGCTGGCCTCTCAGAGGCAGCTGATGCAGGAGCAGGCGGAGGAGGGCAAGGGCCCGGGGAAAGCACAGCGTGGCAGCCTCGAGCACCTGAAGCTGATCCTGCGTGATAAGGAGAAGGAAGCCGAGTGCCAGCAGGAGCAGATCCAGGACCTGCAGGAGCGCAGGCGCCAGCTGGAGCAGCAGCTGCAGGGCCTGCACAGGAAGGTGGCCGAGAGCAGCTTGCTGCTGACCCAGCGAGAGCAGGAGATACTGGTCTTGCAGCGGCACCTACAGGAAGCCAGGGAGCAGCGGGAGCTGAAAGAGCAGTCGTTCCAGAGTCAGCTGGAAGAGGCCCAGAGAGCTGTGACCCAGAGGGACCAGGAACTGGAGGCCCTGCAGCGTGAGCGGCGGCAGGCTCAGGGCCAGGAGGAGAGTGTGAAGGAGAAGGCCAGTGAACTCCAGGGGGCTCTGGAGCAGGCCCATACAGCTCTGCAGGAGTGCCAGGGAGAGCTGGAGGAACACAAGGAGCAGGTGCGGCGGCTCCAGGAAGAGCTGTCAGCGGAGGGCCGGCGGGGGCAGGCCCTGGAGGAGGTGTTGGGAGACCTGAGGGTGGAGTCTCGGGAGCAGGAGAAGGCTCTGCTGACCCTCCAGCAGCAGTGTGCCGAGCGCACACAGGAGCACGATGCAGAGGCCAGGGCCCTGCAGGACAAGTGGCTAGAAGCAGAGGCAATGCTTAAGGAACGGGACCAGGAGCTGGAAGCTCTGCGGACAGAAAACCGGTTCTCCCGGCTTCAGGAGGAGGCTGCCTGGGGCCAGGTCGAGGCACTGCAGGAGGCCCTCAGCAGGGCCCAGGCTGTGCTGCAGGAAAAAGAGCGGCATCTCCTGGAGCAGACAGAATTGAGTCACAGTCTAGAGGCCAGCACCGCCACCTTGCAGGCCACCCTGAACACCTGCCAGACACACGCCCGGCAGCTGGAGGAGGCCCTGAGGACGCGTGAAGGTGAGATCCAGGACCAGGGCCTGCGACACCGGGAGGACATGCAGCAGCTCCAGCAGGCCCTTGCCCGGAGGGACGAAGAGCTGAGGCTTCAGAAGGAGCAAGGGCAGCTGCTGGAGAAGCTTCTGGCCCAGAGGGACCAAGAGGACGTGCTCCAAGAGAGGCAGAATCCGGGGCAGCAAAGAGAAGAGGAAGAGAGGATGGGCCTCCGTGAGAGTCTAAGGGAGCTGCAGTTGACTCTAGCCCAGAAGGAAGAGGAACTCAGGGAGCTGAGGGAGGCCCAGCAAAGGAAGAATCCCGAGGCCTTACCCCAGAGCCACAAAGCTTCCTCAGTGGAGGAACCAGCTCTGAACTCAGAATCTTTCGGGCCCAAACTGCAGCGAGACTTAGAACGCCTACAGGTAGCCTTGAGGCAGACAGAGGCCAGGGAGATTGAATGGAGGGAGAAGGCCCAGGACTTGGCGCTATCCCTGGCCCAGAGCAAGGCCAGTGTCAACAGTCTGCAGGAGGTAGCCTTGTTCCTACAAGCCTCAGTCCTGGAGCGGGAATCAGAGCAGCAGAGACTGTTGGTGAGTCACTCTCTGGGCAGTGAGGGCCAGGGAAAAGAGCCCCGTCTGGCTGAGCTCAGGGGCTCCCTGCCACCCTGAACCTTGTGACCCCTCGAGGGTATGAGAAAGCTGGGATCACGAGTACTTCCATGTGGGCCTCAGACTCCGGTGCAGCCCCCAGAGGGATGCTCAGGGCACAAGACACCCACAGTCCCTACCCTCCTGGAGCTTACAGTCGAGTGGGTAAGCAGCTGTAGAGCAGAGTGCCACACCGAACAGGAGAAATTCAGTGTGCTCCAAGCATGCTGGTCAGACTCCCAACCTTCCCTGATAAAAGATAAGATCTGGTTGCAAGCATTCGGCCTAGTGTTTCAGATGTTTGCATACCACATAGAAGTTCCAGGTTTGATTACCGGCTCTGGCTCCCAATTCCAGTGTCCCCAGGGCTGGGGAGGCAGTAAGTGATGGTTCAAGTGGTTAGGACCCTGCCACTCATGGGAGACCTGGATTTTGTTCCTAGCTCCCTGCTTCAGCCCAGCCACACAGGCATTTGGGGAATGCGCCAGTGGATGGGCGCTCTATCCCTCTCTGTTTCAGAAAAACAAGATTAGATCTGAAGGAACCAGTAAGAAACTGGCCAGGCACAGGTCGGGGACAGGAGAGGAGGAGAGAGCATCTGTGCAGGTCAGTCAGGGTACTGGCACATTGAAGGGGAGTTGCAGGAGAGGAGAAGAGAGAGCAGGGCCCAGCATTCAGGGCTTGTAAGTCTTACTGAGAGGTGAGTAACTGGTGGGAAGCAGGTGAAGTGTGAGGCGCAGGGGAGTGACATGATCAGAGAGATCTCTCAGGCTGCCATGTGGAGTAACAGCCAATCTGGAAGACCAATGAGGAGGCTGTAATAGAAGTCCAGGAACGAGATGGTGAGCTAGGAATGTGTACACACAGACAGACATAAGAGGATCCTAATACTCTGGCCTTTGATTGGCTAAGAAGTGGGAGGAGTAAAGAAAAGGATGAAAGAAATCAAAGACAGCACTAAAGATTTCTGCTCACTAATGAAGAAAAGCAGGTTGGAGGACAAGAAGTGGAATGATGAGTTCGGTTTGGAAGGTCAGGCACCATGTCTTAGTCATCTTTGTACCCCCCAAACAGAGCACAAGGCCTGGATACAGGCAGTGGCTGCAGGACACAGAGAAGCATTGTCTCCTTTGCCAAGAGAAAACCAGTCCATTTTTTTCTGGAGAAATTAACTCCACCTCCTGATCCCTTGGCTGAGCCCCAGAGAACATCTGCCCCCAACCCCTGCCCCATCTCAGACAGCCCCCCAGGAACCCACTGTGTGGAAACACAAAACTCTGTTAAAAGGCAACATATAGAGGAGTTACAGTTAAAAACTTGGGAGTCTACTTCCTGGGTTTCAAATACAGTTCCCTAGGTGAATGGCCGTGCGACCTGGGGAAGTGCCTTTCCTTCTTTGTCCCTTGGAATTTTTTAGAATAAAGTAGGGAAGCCCAGTGCTGTGGCGTAGCGGGTTAAGCCGCTGTCTGGAGCGCCAGCATCTGATATGGGCACCAGTTTGAGTCCCAGCTTTTCCACTTCCAATCCAGCTCCCTGCTAATGTGCCTGGGAAAGCAGTGGAAGATGGCCCAAGTGCTTGGGCAGCTGCCACCCATGTAGGAGACCCAGATGAAGCTCCTGGCTTCGGCCTGGCCCAGCCCTGGCCAAGCAGATGGAAGGTCTCTCTCATTCCCTCTCTCTCTGATTCTGACTTTCAAATAAACAAATATGACTTTTAAAGATTTATTTTATTTATTTGAAAGAGTTACAGAGAGAAGTAGAGACAGAGTGAGGTCTTCCATTAGCTGGTTCACTCCCCAGAAGGCTGCAATTGCCGGAGCTGTGCTGATCCGGGAGCCAGGAACCTCCTCCAGGTCTCCCACGTGGGTGCAGGGGCCCAAGGACTTGGGCTATCTTCAACTGCTTTCCCAGGCCATAGCAGAGAGCTGGATCAGAAGAGGAGCAGCTGGGACTAGAACCAGCGCCCATATGGAATGCCACTGCTTCAGGCCAGGGCTATAACCTGCTGCACCACAGCGCCAGCCCCACAAATATATTTTTTAAAGATTTATTATTTATTTTATTTGAAAGACGGAGTTACAGAGAGGCAGAGAGAGAGAGGACTTCCATCAGCTGGTTCACTCCCCAGATGGCCGCAATGGTCAGAGATGCACCAATCTGAAGCTAGGGGCCAGGAGCTTCTTCCAGGTCTCCCACATGGGTGCAGAGACCCAAGGACTTGGACTGTCTTTTAGTGCTTTCCTAGGCCAGAGCAATCTGGGAAGTGGAGCAGCCAGCACTTGAACTGGCATCTATATAGGATGCTGGCACTGCAGGTGGTGGCTTTACCTGCTGTGCCACAGCACCAGCCCCACAAATAAATATTTTTTTAAAATAAATAAATAAAATAGGAAATGATAGTGTGAAATGGGCTGATACTTGTAAAGTGTTTAGGAAGGAAGCTCTCAGTAAGTGGAACTCTTTTCCTACTTCCAGGGCCATTCTTTTTTTTTTTTTTTTTTTTTAAGATTTATTTATTTGAAAGAGTTACACAGAGAGAGAAGGAGAGGCAGAGAGAGAGAGAGAGGGCTTCCATCCACTGGTTCACTCCCCAATTGACCACAACAGGCGGAGCTGTGCTGATCCAAAGCCAGGAGCCAGGAGCATTTTCCCAGTATCCCACATGGGTGCAGGGGCCCAAGCACTTGGGCCATCTTCTACTGCTTTCCCAGGCCATAGCAGAAAGCCGGATCGGAAAAGGAGCAGCCGGGACTCATATGGGATGCCGGCACTGCAGGCAGCGGCTTTACCCACTAAACGCCACAGCGCCGGCCCCTCCAGGGACATTCTTACAAACACACAGCAGTAAGACGTGCAGCTGAGCAGGAAGACCTTCCTGCCTGTGGTCTTAGATCTCTAAGCAGATTGCACACAGTAATGTAACTCGGGTCAGAGTTACTTCATCTACTCCCCACCTCCAAACTCAAGGACATCTTTCAGATGCAACCCATCATCCTGCAGGTCCTTTTTTTATTTTAAGCATTTTTCCTGCCAGGCACTGCTACTCTCACTTTGTTCCAAAACTACCCCGGAAAGTAGGAACTGTTACCATCCTCATTTTATAATTGAGGAATGGCAGTTGAGAGGTTGCGTAACTCATCCAAAGTCAGCCCACTGATCAGTGCAGACCTGGAAGTAGATCCACGCAGTCTGCCTGCAGGGCTCAGACTCTCACCACCAAGCTCTCCCTCTTCCCCAGACGATCTCCACCCAGCGGCCAGCACTCGTCTTCTCTCATCTGCCTCCTCTTGGCCAACGCCGATAATGAAATAGAGGATGCCTTGGAAGTACCTGACATTAGAGTCCCCACGTTTCAGGGGTCATTCGGCATTTTATAAATGAGGAAATGGTTTGGAGAGAGCTCCTGTGTCCTTGCTCATTCCACAATGTGGTTGCTTAGCTTTAAGGGGGATTTCTGCTCCTAGCTGTGTGTCCTAGGGTCAACCCCTCTGCTCCTTTGCTTTATCGATGAAAATGAGAGTTCTAGACTAGAATCACTCATAGTCTCCAGGAAAAGTAAGACTCTCACCTGCTGAGAAAACCAAGCTGGTTTTTATGAGGTTGGTGGGAGGTGGAGGGTGGGTCTGTATCTGAGGTTGCCACAGTGTGATTTTGTTCTATATTTCAATACCACAGGAGGAGCTGGAATTTACCAGACAGACTCTGGAGAAGGAGCGGCTGCAAAGCCCAGCCTCAACCCTCAGAGCAGAGCGGGGACCCAGGGAAGAGCAGGGTGAACAGCCTGGAGAGGTGAGCTGGGGATCTGGGGGTGCCAGTGGCCCAGGAGGAAACTCCTGGCCAGGGGTGTTCCCTTCCCTTGTGAATTGAGTCCCTGAAGCCCAGACTTGCCAGATTGGTCCCCTTGCCCTCCATCTGTTCCCCTGCCTGTCTAAGGGGCTGCCCATGTGAGCCGGTCTCCTCCCCACCCCCCCACCCCCAGGTCTCAAGAGCAGAGACAGAGTGTGGTGCTGGAGTGGAGGAGAAGGAGCTGTGGAAACAAAGGCTTGAGCACCTGCAGCAGGCCGTGGCTCAGCTGGAGATTGACCGGGGCAGGCTACAGCGCCACAACATGCAGCTGCGAACCACCTTGGAGCAGGTGTGTAACTCCCTGTCTTCAGCCCTTCCTCTGGAGCCTGTGGGCATCTCCACGTCTCTGCAGCCCACAGAGCAGGGCTCAGTAAACTATAGCCTGCAGGCCAAGTCCGTCCCGCTGCTGCTCTCTGAAAACCACGTTTTCCTGGAGCACAGCCATTTACTGTGGCAGCTGTTTGTCTGCTACAGCAGTGGAAATGAATTGCTGTGCCAGCGCTGAATGGGCCACAAAGTCTAATGCGCACCACGAGGAAGCTTGCTGACCTTTGCTCCAGGGGCCCAAGGGGCTGACGCCCTCCTTCCATCTGAGAGCACCTCTCGGGGCTGTCCCAGCAGGGGCTTTCCTCTGCCTAGGAGTCCCCCTGGTTGCTGTCCCTTTATACTCAGCCCCACACACACACTGACCCACTCGAGAGCCTAGCCCTGATTTCTCCCCCACATCTTGGCAGGTGGAGCGTGAGCGGAGAAAGCTGAAGAAGGATTCCATGCGCCTGTCCCGGGCAGGGGCCCAGGAGCTCAGCCAAAGCCTGGATTCATCACCCACACAGCAGGTCTACCTCTTTGCCTCTATTGCAACCTTGAGAGGGCCCAACCCCAGCCACTGGAAACTCAGCCCTCCGCATTGCTTATCCCAGACCACACCTGCATGGGAGACGTGCTTCAGCCAATCCAGAGAGGCCTCTGGCTGGGTTCTGCCCCACCTGGCACTGCTCAGTCTGTCCCTGCCCTGAGAAGGGGACGCAATGTCAGTGGGTGGGGTGGAATCAAGGCTGTAGCCTGCATCCTGAGGAACCCTGATCTGTTACTCTCAGACCCCAACCTCTGGGAGCAGGGCTCACGGGGCTTCTGGTCAGAATTCCTGGCACATGGGTGATGTGCGGTGCTTGCCAGCCCCACGTGCCTAGGAGCTTGATTGCTCCTTGCTCTACTGAGTTTACAAGATTAGGATCCATGGTGTTGCCTGGGGCCAGAGCCCCTTTTTGACATAAGGGTTTGGGGAAGACCCCCCCACCTTCCCCGGCCAACACTCTTTTAGCTGAGCTGCATTAGTTCGCTAGACTGGTGAACGGTGGTGGTGCATGAGGTGGTGAACTGGTGAAGCCTGGTGGGGCGTGAGGGGCTCGAGGCTGAGCCCCTTCCTTTGAGCTCTGTGCTTCCTGGGGTGGGCACCTGTCAGGTGATTTCTCTGCACCCTCAGCTCATAGCCCAGGGCCAGCACAAAGCAGACATGTGGTGTGCTTCCGCTTGATAAAAAAGTACCCCAAAGAAATAGATGGCATCCGGGTCTTTTGGATGTCTGGTGTCAGGTCTCCATGGGTGTTGCCTGTTATGCTGGTGTGAGCCCTTCAGGGTGGAGGTTCAGGCACTTCCTGGTCCCTGCCAACATCCCAGGACTGTGGGGAGGTAGCTGAAGGCCCACGGAAACTCAGCGGGAGAGTTTGTTCCAACATAGGTGGTGTTGTCTCCCTAGGATGGACGAGGGGAACAGAAGGGCTCCGCACAGGCCAAGCACATGGCTGAACTGCAGAAAGAGGTATGTTCTGGAAGGCTCCGTGTTTGAAAGCCTCTTCCCCTCCCTCGAACTCAGGCGGTGAGACTGTAGGGTCAGCTGTGTCCCTGGACCTTTGTGCCTGCATAGGGAGGGGCAGGCAGTTCCTGCCTTCCAGTAAGCAGCAGGTTCCACTCCAGCTCTCATTGGCCTGGACAGGGAATGAGGAAGAAAGCATGATGCAGGCCCCCAACCTCCAGATTCATACCGAGGAAGGGGAAGGCTGAGAAGCAGACCAGAGATCTGCCAGCCGCACGCTGGTGGCAGGATGGAGCCTGGCACCAGTGCAGGATCTGGCCTTATAGCCAGGGTCAAGCTCAGGGAGACCGTATCAAGTGCCTTGCCTTATAGGCCTCTTAGACCTAAAGTTTCACTCCCTCTTTCAAGGCCCAGGAATGATAGGTGTGGCATTTTGATTTCTGAGCCTGTTTCAGAAACCAGTAGTCACTCCTGGCAGAGCCTGACTCTGTGTTGCTAGACCTAAGCTAGTACTTTGAATTCTGTTAAGGCCTTGCCTGCTCTGTTTAAGTTTATCTATCTCTAGTGAGGCCCTTTGGGTATAGAATTTAAGGAGACATTCATTGTTGTTGTTTTTTTTAATTCTTTTAGACAATGTTTTTTAAAAGATTTACTTACTTGAAAGGCAGAGTGACAGAGACGGAGATCTTCATCCACTGGTTCACTCACTTCATCTAGGTAGCTTATGCCAGGAGCCTGTAACTCCACTGGCATCTCCCATTTGGGTGACAGGGGCCATCATCCCCTGCCTTCCCAGGTACATTAGCAGGTCCTGGCATTCTGGATATGGGATGCCAGCATTGCAGGCAGTGGCTTAACCCGCTGCACCACAATGCTGTCCTGAAACACTCACTCTGGACCCAGAGTGCCTCCTTAAATTTTGTACCCTAAGCACCTTGTGCCACCCTCTAATCCTGGATGCCAGTAGCTGAGATTCCAATAGCTTTACCTCCTGTTGTCTCAGTTTCACCGTGGAAGGATTGGTTAGTGATTCTAAACCTTGGCTGCACATTAGACATTCCAGGGGAGCTTTGGAAAAAGTATTGGTACTCGGGCCTCACCCCCAATCTAGTTAAGTCAGAATATGTTTTAAAACCTTCCAGGGGTGGGGGGGGCATTTGGTCAGCAGTTCAGATGCTACTTGGAACGCTCACATTGCCCATCAGAATGCCAAGGTTCAAGTCCAGGCTCTGCTTCTGATTCTGCCTTCCTCATAATGCGTACCCCGGGCCCTGGGAGGCAGCAGGGGATAGCTCAAGTGTGTGATTCCCTGCTACCCATGTGGGAGACCCAGATTGCGTTTCAGGCTCTAAGTTTTGGCCTGGTCCCGGATATTGCAGGTGTTTGGGGAGTAAACTGACAGATGGAAGTTTTTGTTTTGTTTTGTTTTTAAGATTTATTTATTTGAGAGGCAGAATTACAGAGAGAGAGAGGTCTTCCTTCTGCTGGTTCACTCCCCAAATGATCACAACAGAGCTGGGCTGATCTGAAGCCAGGAGCTTCTTCCCGGTATCCCACACGGATGCAGGGGCCCAAGCACTTGGACCACCCTCCGCCACTTTCCCAGGCCATAGCAGAGAACTGGATCAGAAGTGGAGCAGCTGGCACTCAGACCAGTGCCCATATGGGATGCTGGCGCCATAGACAGCTTAACCTGTGCCACAGTGCCAGCCCTGGGAATTCTGTCTACCTGTGTATTTCTCTCCCTCTCTCTTTCTCTATCTCAAATAAATTTTATTAAAAATGCCATACCTACAAGAGCCACAGAAGCACAGAGCAGAACGGTGGGAGAGCTTCAGGGCCCTCCACTGCTCTCCCTCTTGGTTTTCCTGCCCCCAGGTAGCCCTGCTGCGAGCCCAGCTGGCCTTGGAGCGGAAGCAGAAGCAGGACTACATCGCACGCTCAGTGCAGACCAGCCGTGAACTCGCAGACCTGCACCACAGCCTCTCCCACTCGCTCCTTGCAGTGGCCCAAGCCCCTGAGGCCACTGTCCTAGAGGCCGAGACCCGCAAGTTGGACGAGTCCCTGACTCAAAGTCTGACGTCCCCAGGGCCAGTCCTGCTCCACCGTAGCCCCAGCCCCAGCACTACCCAAACCACCCCCAGGTAGCAGCCCCAGCCAGGGCAGGATACAGACCAGCACAGTGCACATGGACAACACAGACAACTGCAGGGGAGTCCTGGTCCCTCTGCATGGCGGCAGGTTTGCCAAAAGAATTGTCTGGCTCTGTTAACCCACGTGGATGCCCCAGATCAGCCACCCAGGAGGAGAAGAAACCAGCAAGATTGGGGAGCACTCCAGCCCGCATAGGAATGAAGCAAATTTTGTTTGCCTGCCAGGCCACGGAATCACCCAGAAGAGTGCCTTGCCCTGGTCGAGGGGCGTTACTGCCTCTCGTCTAGAGTTTATTTTCCCAGCACTTCCCCTCCCTCACCTTCCCTGTCAACAATAAACCTGGGGTCTTTGTGTTAATTCGCTACTGCGGTGTCCACTGTGTGGCTGGGTGGCCGTAGCGCATCAGCATTGCAAGGTAACACTTGCTGAAGATCCCTCTTGGGTGTCAGGGATCTGCTGTGAGCCGTGCACTCTGACTGGGGAAGGTTGCAGAAGACACAGACGAGGTGGCCCCTGTCCCCAGCGCCTGCCTTCAGTCCAGCCGGTAAGACCTGGCTGACGTGAGTCAGACACACCTGTGGGTGCTGCCTAGCAGTGCTGTAGAATGCAGGGGCTGCCCCTGCAGGCTGGGAGGAGTTGGGGGCATTGCTGGGCACATGGGGGAGGAGCCCGGTCCGCCTGTGACGGGCCTGTAGTTCTAACGCATGGGCAGTGAGGAACCATCAAGTGTTCTTGTCCTGAAGCAAGTCCTGGGGCCTCACAAACACTGAGTTGGCCTCTGGCTGATGGAGTCTGTGGAGCTCAGCTCTGACCTCTTCCACCTACTCTGCACAAACGCTCTTGAGTGTCCCTTCCTGGGCGTAGCCATGGAACTGGCTGGTCCCCTGCCGTCAGGCCAGTCAGCAGGACGGACAGTGGCAGAACTTGTCACTACGGACGTGCTCTGGACGACTCAGCTCACACGTTTCAGACCTATCGTTGGCAACTTCCTCAAAGCCTAAAGGCAATTTTACTTGAGAGGCAGGGCAGCATTTGGCTTAGTGGTTAAGATGCCAGTTAGAACACTTGTGTCCCCACGTTGGAGCGCCTGGGTTGATTTCTGGCTCAAGTGAGGAGATTCCTGCCACCACATTTGAGACCTGGGTTGTGTTCCTGGCTCTCTGCTCCTGGCTCTCTGCTCCTGGCTCCAGCTTGACCAGTCCTGGGTCAGAAGTTTGGCAGAGAGGCCCTGTGTTTCTTAGTTTCTTCTCGGTACCATGATCTCTACAGGTGATGAGCCAGGCTGGAAACCAATCAAGGAGAGACCTTCCAGCACATGAAAGACGTTTTGCAGACTGCCAAGCAGGGTCCTCATTCAATCCTAAACCATCTATTGCTCGTCTCCTCATCTAACCCTTGAGAGCCCCCCCAGCCTCCGCCATAGCGCTCAGCCCGAGCTCTCCCCACCCCACCAGGTACTGAGGTTGGCGAGGCTTTGTTCAGTGGTGAGGACCAAGCTCTTCGCACACAGCAGCTGGGGGTTGACTTTCTAAAGTAGACTTTCCTCGGCCAATAGCAGGGTCATCTCTGGGGAGACCAGTAATGTACCAGTTGCTCTTTTCATCAGCTCCAAACCCAAGGAGAGACTGGAGGGGAAAAGCAGGAAGGAAAGTGAGGGTCACCCAGGCAGGACACAGGTCCAGAGCCTCTGTCCCTTCGTCTTGTCGCCTGTCACAAGGCTGCCCCAAGCAGTGGATCAGCCCTTGGGCGGTGCCTCTGGCTGTCCAGCCTGTTCTCACAGATGTGCTCTGGGAGGGTGCGATCCATCACTGGAACCTGGGGTGGAAAGATGGGCAGAGGTCACCCTGGCCCCTTCCTCTAGTCGTCTTGTGTGCTTAGATAGAGGCTGCTATGGGCCAAACCGCTCTGAAAGCAGCAAGGGTCAAGCACGGAGTCAGAGTCTGGGCCGGTCGTCTTGTTCCCAGGGAGCGCCTGGGACTGTGAGTCCTGCTTCTGTTCTCACAGCGAGCCTGCATGCTTTGTGCACCACATCACAACCCACACGGGGCTGCCAGGGTGGTGAGTGCAGGGAAGCCATGGGCAAGAGAGCCCAGCAGAGGAGGAGGAGCTGGTGGTAGAAGTCAGCGTGAGGAGTGAGTGGAGTGTTGTTGCAGACTGCACAGGTCGCGGTCGGCACTTACACCGGGAAGCCCAGGGCTGTCTGCTGGAGGACGGAGCTCCCCCCAGTCCAGTGGGTGAAACCGCTGCAGTCCACAGCAGCCCTGGAGGTTTCGGTGACACCAGCAGCCTGTGTGTGTGTGTTTTTTTTTTTTTTTTGACAGAGTGGACAGTGAGAGAGAGAGACAGAGAGAAAGGTCTTCCTTTGCCGTTGGTTCACCCTCCAATGGTCGCCGCGGCCAGCGCGCTGCGGCCGTCGCACCGCGCTGATCCGATGGCAGGAGCCAGGAGCCAGGTGCTTTTCCTGGTCTCCCATGGGGTGCAGGGCCCAAGCACTTGGGCCATCCTCCACTGCACTCCCTGGCCACAGCAGAGAGCTGGCCTGGAAGAGGGGCAACCGGGACAGAATCCGGCGCCCCAACAGGGACTAGAACCCGGTGTGCCGGCGCCACTAGGCGGAGGATTAGCCTAGTGAGCCGCGGCACCGGCCCAGCAGCCTGTTTTCTTTAGCCCAGTCAGGAGCATTCTGGGTGCATTTAGTGCAGGGAGGTTCTGTCGCAGCATCATGAAGCCCAGAAGTGGGGGCTGGTTTGTTCTGTAGAGACAGGAGAGCTAATCCTATGTCATCCCTGCACCTCCGATCATGGCTTCCTGTTTAAATCTTTCCAGTGCCTGTGAATATTCCAGCCCAGAGGTCAGATCTCAGAGTCTGAAGGCTACTTGCTGGCAAGAGTAGCCCCACATCCCCCACATCCCACCCTTGCATCATGGTTTGGGGATTCACGCCGCAGCTCTGGATAGAACTCTTCCCCGTGTCAGCGGCCTCTTGTTAAGTTCGGCCAATTCCAGTATTTGACGAAGGTTGGTAGATGAGATGTGCTGGCATTGCATTCACTTGGCCAATGCTCATCAAGCCTGTGCCAGAAGCCCCCGCTATGAACACCAAGGAAGAGGAGGAGGAGCTTGTCTCCAGGGAGACTGGGCCCAGATAAATGCTTGCAGAGTGACCCAGAGGCCCAGAAGAGACTGGCCACTCCCAGTGAGTCCAGGGCAAGCATCCCAGAGAGAGGAAGGGGGACCCTGGGGGCCCTTTCAGGGTGGTCGTCAAGCCCATTGGATGGTATAAGGAGTCAGGGTCCCAAGTCCAGCAGCAAAGGCAGGCCCTCAAGGCGCCAGCTCGCCCACCCCAGTTCGACCTTTCTGGCCACAAAGCCCTGTGAAGGCTCCATTCTCACCGCGGGATGAGGCACATGGCCAGGCCAGGCTGAGTCAGACACCAAGCACTGGGCAAAGCAGGGAGCTCTGGATGCCAGACTCCACCAGCATCCTACTGCCATGTTGGCTTCTGTGCCTTCCTCCGCCTTCACATCACACCTTCCGACGGCTGCCCCTTGCCTCCCTATCCACCTGTTACATCCCAAAGGTGTTCGCTAAAGGCCACTTTGAGAACGAGAGGAGAGGCAGCAGGCCGGCATTGTGGCACAGCAGGTTAAGACATTGGCTGTGATGCCTTGAGCCCAGCCCCCCATGTGGGAGACCCAGGTGGAATTCCTGGCTCCTGGCTTTGGTCTAGCCCACCCATGACTTTTGTGGTCATTTGGGGAGTAAACCAGTGAGTAGAAGATCTCTTTCTCCCTCTCTCACACTGTCTCTCAAATAAATAAGAGAAGAAAAAGAAAACCTTTGTAATACAGTTAAAAATAAATTTTCTAACCATCCAAACTTTGCTTTGGTAGATTTTCTTGTCATTTATTTAAAAATTAAGCTATCACATGCACATGGTTCAAAACAATACATCGGGGCTGGCATGGTGTAGAGGATAAAGCCCCACCTACAACACTGGCAATCCATATGGGCACTGGTTCCAGTCCTAGCTGCTCCCCTTCTGTTGTACCCGAAACGTCCGATTCCCACCAGTTAAGACCACCAGGACCCGAGACTGATGCAAAAGCAAGAGTTTTATTTCAAACTCGAGTTTGGTCCGACGTCCGCACCAGGCGCAGCTGGGCTGGATCAGCAGCCCCTACAGTAAGGTCGTTAGGGTTTTTGTACAGTTGAACATACAAGTTCAGCTATATAGCATCTGATAGGCTCATTCTAAATTCATACTTGTCCTACAATTGGCTACTGTTCAAGCGAGTAAGCAGTTTGCTTTTGTTTTTGTTGTTTCTCTTTCTCTTCTAAGTTCAGCATAGGGTCTGTTCTTCCTGGCAAGTACTTAGCCAGTGAGTTCAGCATAGGGTCAGGGTTCTTGGTATTATTTTACACAAGCATCCCATAGGCTGGCAACCTGGTCTTTATCTTGTTGGCTCAGCCATCCGGTCTTTTGAACTAGTTCCCGGGATTTGAAGAAAACTCAAAGGTAAGGGGAGGCTTGTTATTGTAAGATGTTAATTTTCAACATGACTGAGTTTAAGTTTAACTCCTTCCCTTCAACATCTCTGGGGAAGTAGTGGAAGTTGGCCCAAGTGCTTAGGCTCCTATATCCTCGTGGGAGACCTGGGTGAAGCTCCTGGCTTCAGCCTGGCCCAGCACAAGCCGTTGAGGCCATTTGGGAGTGAACCAGTGGATACAAGAGCTTTCTCTGACTAACTGCCTTTCAAATAAATTATATATATATATATATATATATATATATATATATATTTATACACACACACACCAGAGGCAGCAGTTTCCCACCCCTGTCTCCAGAGGTTACTAATTTCTTAAAAATATTTATTTGATAGAGTTGCAGAAAAAGATTTTCCATCCACTGGCTCACTCCCCAAATGGCTACAACAGCCAGGCTGAAGCCAGTAGCCTCTTCTGAGTCTCCTATATGGGTGCAGGGGCCCAAGCACTTGAGCCATCTTCAGCTGCTCTTCCCATTTCATTAACAGGGAGTTGGATTGGAAGCAGAGCAGCTGGGTCTTGAACCGGTACCCATATGAGATGCCAACACTGCAGACAGCAACTTAACCCACCAGGCCACAACACTGGCCACCACAAGTAATTTTTTTTTCTAGTGGTTAACTTTATTCCTCTAAATAATAATATGTGTATATGATGCTGTAAAGGGCCAGTATCTAGAATAGGAGGCTACAGTTCGGGGATTCTTGGGTCTGGCGCTGAGCTACCTCCTCTGTGGACACCCGGTACACACACTACAATGTCTTGTCGGGGAGGCATGAGGGGTATGCTTGCAGTCTCATGAAGGG